GACTGCGAGCTAACAGAGAACAGGGCCGGTGGTCCAGCTTAGCCAGCCGTCACTGCAACCTCGTCCTTCTCAGGGCTGACAGAAGCTTGCCAGGAGCCTAGCTGAGAACTGAGGATCTCCGCAGGGCAAGGAAACCCCAGGAACAGAGGAGACGTACCCTCTTTGTAATCAACTGCCCCCCCCACCCCAAGCATAGGTGAAAAAGCTGAGGAGCCACCCAAAGGCAGTAGCGGGTCTTCCAAGATTGTCATTTGCATCAGAAACCCCCCTTGGAGAAGGAGCCCCACCTCCAGCTGACCAGCCTGCACACAGGCAGAGTCCACTCCGATATCAGCTGGAACGAGGGGAAACGAGGAAAAAGAAACTCAGGAAGAAGAAGGCTCTGTGGGCTGCCCATGTTCCTGAGAACAGCGACACTGGACAGGATGTATTTACTGCTCACCCGGCAAGGGAAGTAAAAACAGGAAAGTCAACCTAAGTGGGGAGAGTCACAGCCTCCACGTGGGAAGGCAGCAGAAGTGGCCCAGAACAAGAGCGTCAGAGATGAGAAATCCTAGGAACTCCTAATCCTCAGTTTCAGGCAGTGGCCATCGATTCTTCTGACTCTGGTTTCTGATGAGAAACCAGACAGTCATTCTAAAAAGGGTATTTGAGACTCCAGAGAGCAAAACTCATGAGAAACGCGTCGTTGTGGTTGTGATGAGGTTAGCTCTATGTATGAATTGGCGCTTGCTGTAAGGATGGTGTCCCTGTGAGTGTGGCACACACTCAGACGGTGATCTCTTCCGTGAAGGGATCAAAGAACTCTTTACAAATATCCTCAGAGGGGTGCCTGGGTGGCTCAGTCGTTAAGCTCTGCCTTCGGCTCAGGTCATGATCCCAGGGTCCTGGGATCGAGCCCCACATCGGGCTCCCTGCTCCACGGGAAGCCTGCTTCTCCCTCTCCCACTCCCCCTGCTTGTGTTCCCTCTCTCGCTGTGTCTCTCTCTGTCAAATAAATAAATAAAATCTTTAAAAACAAAACAAAACAAATAACCTCAGAGCCCAGAGATAAGGATGAGTCACAAAAGGCGCGGTGAGGGGCACCCAGCCACTGTGAAGAATGCAATTCAGATACTTGAGAACTTATCTGTTCAGCAGAGAACACTGTCCGAGCTTCTAGCTGGTGAATCAGAAGTGCGTGGTGTCTGTGAGGGCTGTACCTCCGAAGTGAGCTGCCCCCTGATGCTGGAACCACTGGGAAGGTACCCTTTATACTCGCTCCAGTGGCCACACCATTGGCTGCTACGCGTTCAGATGCGAGGGCGTGTGGAGCAACCACAGCAGGAAGAGCCATAGTAGACAGCGAATCTTCTATGCAGGGCTGGCAAATGGCACTGTGGTCACCTTCATCAAGAACAATAAACGACTCGAGGTCTTTGAACACCATGGTCCTCCGGCTGTCAACTGTCTCGCCACAGCTGAGGAAGGTGCCTCCAAAGTGGCTCATTGTTGGGTCTTGTGCCTGGACCATGAGATGCACGGAAGGGACTCCTCCTCGGAGTCCTCCAGAGGGCCCCAGCAAACCGTCCTTTGCACGTAGGTGGTGTGTGACCTTGTGTTCAGTGGCTCCAGCCCAGCTCAGTTAGCCTATGCCTACAGTATTTGTATTGGTGACCTCACATGGATCTGTGAAAGTCACAATCACACAGTGACTGTAGGAATATCCTAGGAAAAATGATGGTGGCCTCGTGCCTGGAGAAGTTTGTGCCTGTGGGTCACAGACCCACAATCAACTGCAAGTTTACGGAGAACACAGAGATATGATTATTTATATGACCACCCTTAAAAGTATGATTTATCCCGGCCGACATGATGCCAGTATTCAGGCTGCGAGGCTAAATCCGATGCAGAATTACCGCTGTCAAAAGGTGGCATGGTTGCTCTCTGATATTTGGTGTTTGTAGATCATTCAACACAGTGTCTGCTTGCTGACCACATGGACCCAAACTTTCAAACCCTGAGATGTCACTGGAGGAAGTGTGCTCTTTTCACAGCTAGGAAAGGATCCAAACAGGACACACAGGATGACGTACTGAGGATAACAGCAAAACTGATACATGAAGTTTTTGCCTCCCATCTTGGGAGGTCATTAGTTGAACTAATTTCACATCGGCCCCACGCAGAGGCCGTGGTCTTCCCTTCCCCAGAGAAGCAGGGAGGAAGTGGTGTCCAGCCAGGCTCACCCCCAGTGCGAGTCTGGGCACCTCTATGGGATGATAAGTTACACTTGAAGTTCTTACTGGAGGTTTATCAGAATTAAACAGATTTTAAGGAATGATACTTCTCTGGGACAGCATGTAGTAATTTATGCTACTAGTATTCTCCAGATATTATAGATCTTAATTGGTTAAAAAAATAATAAGTAGGGTGGACACTTGGGGGGAAGGAGGATAAGGTTTTTTAAAAGAAAAGCAGAGCATACAACTCCAGTTGAACTTGACTTTGACTTTGGCCAGGCTCACATACAGAGCCCTTGCTGTTTGGGAAACTGGCATTCATTTATTACTCTCACTCTAAAGATCAAGAGAACAGTAAAAACATTTGATAGCTGTTTTTATAGTTTGGAGTTAAACATTGACTCTGGATTGGCGAGGCCCCGAGGGTGGCAGGCATCGTCATCAGACCCAGGGGGCTGGATGGACCCCCCCACCTTGCGGGTCTTAGGTGTTGAGGCACACACCTGCCTCCTGGCTGTGCTGCTTTGTTCAGGAATGAAAATGCTGGGTAGTTCAATATTAATTCAAACTTTCTTTGCTTCTTTTTTCCTCTAGGAATTTGTCTTTGAAGGAAGTGAGTTGTTTTGCTGCAAATGTTTCATTTCAGAGCCCGGCACTAGATGAGATGAAAGATAGTCTTTGGGAAAGGAGAGGTCTGAAGGACAAATTCTCAGCTTAGCCGCTTACCAGCTGTGTGACCTTGGGCAAACTAGTTGACCTTTCTGAGCTTCAGTGTCTTCCTCTGTAACATGGGAATGGTCATAACATCTACCTCCCAGGGGGTTGTGAGGCTTAAGTGAGACAGTCCACGGAAAGTGCTTGGGATGCTGCTGGGTATGCTCACCATGAATTCCTGAAGAATGGACGCCTCTGCTCATGTGACTTGTCATAAGAGATCCCAGGAAAGGAAATCTGGTTGTTTTCTTCTGTGGTTTATATATCATCATTATATTTCATCATTAAGAGAATACTTGAGGACACCTGGCTGGCTGAGTCTGTAGAGTGTGTGACTCTCGATCTCAGGGTTGTGAGCTCAAGCCCCACGTTGGGCGTGGAGCCCACTGTAAAAGAAAATATGCAAGAGAATATTTGTTGTGTTGGTATTTGGTTATTGTCCTCTACAAAAAGTCACAATTGAGATACAGTAGGAAAAGCAAAAGTATCGGACCTGGGTTCGATTCCTGGCTCTGCAACTGACTTGCTATGTGGCCTTGGGAAAGTTGCTTAACCTGTCTGCTCCTCATCTATAACCTGAGAACCATCTCTCGAGAGGGTTGTGGATAAATAAAAACAGTAGATGGGAGTTCGCCTTGGTAGGGCCAGCCTAGCACACCGTGGGTGCTGAATCCATGCTAGCTGCCCCATCTTCCCATGTTCGATAGCCCTGTTGCCAGCAAACTTACCAGGCTGTGGTTTTCAGAATCTCTGCCCGGAGGCCCTGGCCCTCTTTTGTCCACACCCACGAAGACTTGGCACATGATAGGAACCGATGCAGCTCTTGATACAGACCTGTCCCTCAGCTTCTCTGTCTCGTGCCCCATCCCTCCCTGATCCCCAGGGGATGGATTCTCGCCCTCTCTCCACTCCCCTGCCGCCGTCTGCTCGCAGCCTTGGTGTCCTTGTACCCATAGCCCCACATGACCCCACTCGCGCCTGTCATTCCTCTCGAGACCCTTTCAGCTGCGGCTCCCACTAGGGATCTTCCAGCGCCGGCATTTCCACTTCCCAGATCCCAGGAAATCTGGCTGCTTCAGCAGAGTGTCAAGACACTTTCTGGAGAAAGGAAGAGCGGACCTGTGTGTCCTCATTAGAGGACAGCTTGCAACTTTGAATTTTTCACTTTCCCTCTTTACTGGAAACAGAGCAGGACCCACACCAGTTAAGAACTGTTTTTTATCCAAGCATGCGTCCTTGTTTTATGCAGGTCTAGCTGGAATCAGTCTGGACCAGTAACCCCGAGTTCTGGCCAAGGGAGACGTAAACAGTTTAATGTAAAAAAGAAGTCATCAATATGTTCCACGACCTTTAACTCTCTGCTAATGGGACAAACTCCTTAGGGATTCCCTTTTCATTTTTAGATCAAACAGAAGACAATAAAAGCCGGCTGCTTCATGCCTTAAAATAAGAGTAGCACTGTATTCTAACTGGACTTCATGTTCAAAGGGCTACATTTTGTTACATAATTAATTTCAAAAATCCTCTTTGATATCCAGAGCAATTATGGAAAATCAAGAATGAATTTAAATATGTTTTCTAATATGGCTTTGTAGAGTTTGGCAAGCTGTGTGTGTGCGAGACAGAGAGAGGGAGGGAGGGAGAGACAAACAGCCTAGCATGTTCTTTGCTTCTCTGAGTTTTGGTTTTCTCTCCTATAAAATAGAAACAATACTGTACCCCTCAGGGTTGCATAAAGAGAAGTGAAATTATGTATACGATTTACATGTGATTCCCTAGTTTGATGCAACCCAAATAAGAGGAACTAACATTTCCCACGTGCCACTTACGTGCCAGGAAGATCAAAGATGAGCAGGGACATTAAAGGGATTTCTGGGGGTTACTGATGATCCGTCACCCCACACTTACCTTGGGTTCAGCACAGATATCTTTCAGTCAGGGATCAAGACTTGGGGTTCAGGCTGCCCTTTATCTCAGCCACATGCTGAGCTCAAAAGCCTTGTGGGTCTAGCCTGGGAACTCCCCTCTGTACATTTATTATGATGCAGAAATGTGAAATGGATCTCAAGCAAGTAACTTGTGCCCCCCAATTTTTTTTTAACAAAAAACATCTATAAGTGGGGACCACCTGAAAATTTTAAGAGTTTTTTTTAAGGTTTTATTTATTTGAGAGAGAGAGAGCGGGAGTAGGGGGAGGGGCAGAGAGAGAGGGAGAAGCAGGCTCCCCGCTGAGCAGGGAGCCCAATGCGGGACTCGATCCCAGGACCCTGAGATTATGACCTGAGCTGAAGGCAGACACTTAGCCAACTGAGCCACCCAAGCGCCCCAGGGACCACCTGAATTTAGACATTTGATTATTCCTCCTAGGTGATTTTTGAATGTCACAACTAGGGGCACAACTCGGGGGCGGTGCTCCTGGCATCTGGTGGGTGGAGCCAAGGACGCAGATAAACATCTTCCAGTGCACAGAATGGCCCCACAACAGAGAGTTATCTGGCCTGAAATACCAGTAGTGCTAAGGGCTGAGGAACTCTGCTCTATAGAGACATTTGGATATGTTTGGTTATAAATTAAATTTTGGCAAAATTTGGATAATTTTTATAATTGGACCTTTCACATGGTAATACCATGGCCATCTTTCCATGTCCATAAAAGTTCAAAATTTCCAGGGGCGCCTGGGTGGCTCAGTTAGTTAAGTGTCCAACTCTTGATTTCAGCTCAGGTCCTGATCTCAGGGTTGTGAGGTCACATTCCACATTGGGCTCCACGCCCAGAATGGAGTCTACATAAGATTCTCTCCCTCTCCCTCTGCCCCTCCACACTCGAGCTCTCTCTCTCTCAAAATAAATAAATAAATAAATTAATTAATTAATTAATTTAATTAAATAAAAATGCCCATGTCCCTGAAATAGTGGAATATACCATATTGTGTTTAGCTGCCATCCATTGTTGGAAATTTAGGTTGTTTTCTTGTTGAAAGACAGTATTATTATAAGTATTTGTAATGTACATTTTTGTGTACTGGTCCCATTATTTTCTTAGGGTGAATCCTGAAATGAGATTGCTCAGTGGAAAGGAATAGGAAGGCATCATGAGCTGATACTCACAACAGCAGAAGATGAGCATACCTATTTGCCTACAACTTCACTAGCACTAGGCTTTCCCATTTGTTAGAATCTGCAGTGTTTTTGTGGTGCCCAGGTCTGGCCAGGCTCCATGTTCAGGGGTGGTCTGGCTAGAATGGGGTTGAGGTCCTGGCACTGTTTCTATTTGGGGACATTGGGCACCTGTTAGGGCAGAGTCCTCATTATACCTACTGTTACCAGGGAATCTCACCATCTTTGTCTACTACAGGCTCCAGACACATCAGTCAAGCCGCAGCCAAAGTCGACATCGAATTTGATTATGATGGGCCCCTGATGAAGACTGAAGTCCCAGGGCCTAGATCTCGGGTGAGTTGAGCACACTTGAGTGGTGTTCTTAAGAACGGAGCGGAAGGAGTCCATGAGGCAAGAACACAGTGAAACTTACAGACCTGTGTTCTTAGCTGCTTTCAGAGAGCTTACCACTAGAGATCCAGGATTAAAGTAGGCCATTCTGCCGCGAGAAGTCAAAGACGCCTTCTCAGGGGAGATGTATCAATTGTCTGTTGTCACAGTAATGCTGTGCACAAATTACAGAACCTCAGTAGCATACAGATGGCTTATGCATCTGGGGTTAACTGGGAGTTAGCTAGGCAGCTCTGTTGGGCCCATCTACATGCCTGGGGGATGACTGACCACTGGTTGATCTAGGCTGAGCTTGTCTTGGTCACTGCAGTGACTTGGCTCTACCCCATGTGTCTCTCATCCTCTAGCCACCTGGGCTGGGCTCATCCTCATGGCAATGGCAGAGAAGAGCACATAATGGGTCTCTTAAGGTCTAGGCTCCACATTGGTGTACCATCACTCCTACCTCATTCTGTTGGCCAAAGGAAGTCACGTGGCTTGCTTTGAGTCCAGAGTGAAGGTCTGGGGCAGAACATCTGACCAAAGTCAGATGAAGGATAAAAAGGAAGAATTCACCAAAGGAGTGCATTATTCTTTTGTAGACAAGGGGAATGGTATGTGGAGAGGCGTGCAGGGTGACAGGACATGGCATATGAGACACATTGGGTAGCTCTGAATCCCTGGAATAGATGTTACTGTGTGAGATGGAAGAGGCACAAGATGAGTCTGATGAGGGATGTTCGTGCCTCTCCTCAAAGATGCTACACAACCTGCATGTTATGCATTTCAGAAGGCTGACTAACCTTGGCTCTATATTGTGATGTGCTATACTGTTTCTAATGTTTGCACCGAAAAAATAACAGTGTAAACCTTTTTAATACAAATTGGCTTTTTTCTTTGCAGATTTTGCAGATTTTATCCACAGTGTCACTTTTTTTACTGTCAGAAGATATCCCTTTTGTCACTGCAACTATTTTATAAATCCAGAAATCTTTGTACTAATGCAAGTGATTGTAGTTACTTTGATAGCATTTTACCAAAGGAGGTACATTTGGTAGGGAGGAAGGAAGGAGGGACATTTTTTCATGCTTATTTCTGTGGAGGAGTAGTGGATTTTAATTTCATAGTGGTGAAATACCTGGAATAATTTTTTTATATTGTCATTAATATTAGTTTCTATTTTTATGTGGAAATACATAATTTTATGACACTAATTGCTAAAGTTGATTTTATGTTGGATTATTTTTATAGATTAAATCTTTGTAGTAGTAAAGCACCTAGGTCCCAGTTCCCAATTTATAATTCCCAGTTTCTATATAGACTTGTATGTGTGGTTTTTGGAGTGTCCAGATTATAATTATAAATGGTTCTTTGATGAGCAAGTTTATATTTTCAGTTGATTTTATTTTTTCTAACAGTGTTAAAGCCTTTTTTCCCAAATGAAAAGGGAACCAGGGCGCCTGGGTGGCTCAGTCCATTAAGCGTTCGACTCTTGAGCTCAGCTCAGGTCTTGATCTCAAGGTCACTGGGTGTGGAGTCTACTTTAAAAAAAGGGGGGGAGACCTATGCTTTTATGAGCACTAAATAAATACCTTTAGCTTAAATATTTTATTTTATTGTTATCCTTTCAAGTTTCTAAATCTCTGTTACACTGGTAATGTAACTGGCAGGAATAGTTTCCTGCCAACTATTTATATTAAGCAATTTTTAAACAATTATAATATTGCTGATTAATTAACTATGAAGTTATTGGTATAAGCGTCGGGGGAAGCCCCAGGACTTGAAAGACTTGAGGTTTCTTTGGCAAGCGTGTGTCCTTGCTATAATGCTTTTGCTCTTCTTGCCTGCAGGAGTTAATGAAACAGCTGAGTATAATTCAGGTAAGTGAGAATGAGCTAACATCCCCTCCACTGCTTCTCTGTCGTGACTTAGTTGAGGGACACAAACATTTAGGCTGTGCCAGCTCTTTAAAAAAAATGCAACGGACTTTGTTCTAAACCTTTTTTCCCCCCTAATTTTCCTTATGATTTCTTTTTTTACTTATTTGTTATTTATGTGTTAGTTTCCACATTTTGGTGAACTTCCCAAATTTCTTTCTGTTACTGATTTCCAGTTTCATTCTGTTGTGGTTGGGAAACATATTTTGTGTGATTTCAATCCTTTTAAATTTACTGAGCCTTTTATATTGTCTCTCCTGGAAAATGTTCCACATGCATTTGAGGAGAATGTGTGCTCCACCACTTTTGGGTGGAGTGTTCCATAAGTGTTTGTGGGACCTGTTGGTTTAGAGTGTGGTTCAAGTCTTATTTCCTTGTTAATCTTCTGCCTGTTTGTTTTATCCACTATTGAAAGCCAGCTATTAAAGCTGCCAGCTATTCTCTTATAACTATATTTTTCATCACTTTTGCCCATTTTGCTTCATGTATTTTGGGCCTCTGTTGTTATCAGGTGCTTACATGTCTATAATTGTTATATCTTTTTAGTGGACTTCACCTCTAGAAACACTTTTGTTTAACAGTTGATTTTGTCTGATTAATATAAACCATTTCAGCTTTCCTAGGATTGCTCTAAGAATCATGTATCTTTTTCCTTACTTTCAACCTATTTGTATTCTTGAACTGAAAGTATGTCTCATGTAGACAGCATATAGTTGCATCTTTTTATCCAATCTGACAGTTTCTGATTTTTGATTGGGTTGTTTAATGCACACACAGTTAATGTTCTTACTGTTATATTTATATCTTCCATTTTACTCTTTGTTCTCTATATGTCTCATATATTTTTGTTCCTTTTTTACTTTTTTTTGCATTAAGTGGGTATCTTCTAGTGTGCTACTTTAATTTCTTTCAGAATTACCATATATTTTTTAGTTTTCTTCATGGTTGCTCTAAGGCTTACCATCATCTTAACATCAGAATCTTCTTCAGATTTATTTCTGAACCTTTTGTTTTTGTGATATATAAAATACAGAAAAATTCATAAAATACAAATTTACCACTTAGTAAACTATTATAAAGCAAACCATTCATGTAAGCACCCACAGATACCCTCCGTGTGACCATAAGAATGGGCAGGACGTGGTTTACTTCACCAGTTCAAGCTTCATCCCAAAAGACAAAGAATCTAGAGGATTGTGGCAACCCTGAATCAGTCTCTGTTTTCTCCAAGAATGCAGAAGCTGTGCACTTTTTCTGCAATTATGAAGAGAGCCGAGGCAATTACCTGGTCGATGTGGATGGCAACCGGATGTTGGACCTATACTCCCAGATTTCCTCTGTTCCCATAGGTAAGAGTTGGGATACCCACCCTCGTATGTACCTCCTCTCTCTGTTAGTTGTGGCGGTCCAGACTTTAGATGCTCCTTCCAGTACACACATCCCTGTGTGCTGCCAGACACTTCCTTCAAGGGCAGAGAAAAGGAACAAGTAATTGGTAGAGGGTCTCTTATAGGGACTTTATGTGTTTTCTCTTCTCTCATTGACTCTTCCTCGAAACCCCACAGGGTGAGTATGTATTAATGCCCCCATTTTGTAGATAGATAAGCAAAGCTCAGAGAGGTGACATGGCTTGCAGAAGAAGCATGGCCGGGACATGAGCTCAGGTCTGTGGAACCCCGGCCTTTAATGTCAGCTGTCTTAGGTTAGGTGTCATAGAAGAGCCTGAGGCAGGGGTTCTGTGCAAGTTGCTTATTAAGGGCATACTCTCAGGAGACAGGGGAGAGAGGGAAAGGCTAAGAAGGATGAGGTCTCAGCCAGAGACTAGCCATGGCCTGATCCCACAGGGGGCTCTGGAGCATGACTTGCACCCCAGTGTTGGTCCCAGGCAGCGTCAAAGAGGCTGGCCTTTTTGTATCCCAGTGGCAGTCGGTCATTACCTGTTAGGTGCCTGCAGGAAGGACATGGCTCATCTCTTGGGCAAAGGGGCTTCCATTCACCAAGGGCAGTTTTCCAGAAAAAGAGGCAGCTGGAGCTGTTACTGGCCCCCACACAGGCAGCTGGGAGAGGGGTGGCCTGCCAAGGTGAGCAGTCGGGGCACCAGCAGCATGTGCCTCACCAGGCTTACCTCTGGCCCATACAGAGCCTGGCTTGCTGCTAGAGGAGGGCACGGCAGACGGTGGGATGGATAGGGCTGACACAGACACACAGATCACTGCTGCGCTCAATGGTCTGTGGGCTGAGCATCTCATCTGGTGAAGCCTGTCTCTTCATGCATGATGCCAGTCCCTATTTATTTCCCATTGAGATACGATTTAGACAGTAAGGTGACTGATGCTTTTTTGGAAGCCCATCATTCAGACACACTTTGGCCTCTGAAGGCATTTTGGGTTCTTTGATTTACACAACCCCGTCTGCATTCTCGGTTGGAGTGAAAGGGCCGGTTCTGGAGTTCTCAGAGTCAAATCCTAGCTCTACCATGTAACAGCCATGGGCTGCAGGCCCTTCTCTTCCCAGCTAACTCCGCCATCCTTCTGCCCCCAGCCCCTGCAGGCCTCCCTCAGTTCTCATCCCCAACCAGCAAACAAATGTATGGGGGCGTAAGAAATCGGGCCAGCAGAAGTTGAAAAAGCACAGGAGTTCTTTTTTTTTTTAATTTATTTATTGTTATGTTAATCACCATATATTACATAATTTGTTTTGGTGTACTGTTCCATGATTCATTGTTTGTTCATAACACCCAGTGCTCCATGCAGAATGTGCCCTCCTCAATACCCATCACCAGGCTAACCCATCCCCCCGCCCTCCTCCCCTCCAGAAACCTCAGTTTGTTTTTCAGAGTCCATCATCTCTCCTGGTTCGTCTCCCCCTCTGACTTACTCCCCTTCATTCTTCCTCTCCTGCTATCTTCTTCTTTTTCTTTTTTCTTAAAATATGTAAGCACAGGGAGTTCTGAAAGTTCTCCTCTGGCTGCCTTTCCTCCCCTATCTGTAGTCTTTGAGATGATTTTTTTCTAGCTGATAACTAGTGAGAATTTGCCATAGGCCTGGCATATCGCTAAGCACCTTACACACTATCCCATTAGACCCCCACAACAGTCCTGTAACTGTAGGTTTTTTAACATCATCTCCAGCTTACCCACGGGGGCCAGGTTTCAAGAGTTCACAGGGTTTGTCCAGTGTGTGCAGGGAGCCCAAGGAGTTGAACCAAAGGCCCTCTGCCTCCTAACTTACTGCTGTGATTAGCAGCCTCACAGACAGCTGCCCCGCCCTGCCCTGGCCTGCAGGGCAGGGTCCCACAGTGTTAGAAGCCCAGGCATGGATTTCCTTGATCAGAAGGACCAGCTTTGCTCTCATCTCTTCCTCTGAAGTCAGTAAGACAAGCTGCATCTGTGGTTTAATAAGATTTTCCTGGAACTGGCTTATCTACTGAGGCAGAGAAGTCATAAACACCCAGGCAGCCTGATAAAGAACCAGATCTGAAAGACCTCTGGCTAAATACAGTTGGAAAAAACCCACAGAGTGCTCCTTCCTTGAGTAATGAGCACCCTGCAGCCTTGGGCCCAACACGCCCTTGAGTAGGGCGGGAGGGCAGGGAGGCTGCTCATAGCCCTGAACCCTTGGACCCCCAGATCATCCCCCCAACACACACACCAGTCTACCCTCCTCGAAGCAGGAGGTGAAACCACAAGGCTCTTCAAGTCCATTCACTCTTTGATGCTGCAGAGGAGAAAGTCTCCCCAGAGTAGCGCCAGGGCCTCACCACCCCTCTGAATTTGCTAGCCTCCTCTGGTGGAGCAGAGCAGGCCCCAGGCCCAGAGCCTTGGGCAGACCTCTCACCTCAGTGATGCAAGTCCCCTTTCCGAGTAAGTTCATTTAAGGGCGCCTGGCTGGCTCAGCAGGTGGAGCATGTGACTCTCGATCTCAGGGTTGTAGGTTTAAGCCCTATGTTGGGTGTAGAGATTACTTAAGTAAAATCTTAAAAAATAAAGGAAAAAACCAAACTAAGTTTATTTAAACAAAAAATGAATTGGCTTAAAGAAAATAGGTACAAGGTATGCATGGTAAAAATTCTGATAGTTGGAGACCAGGAGTTTCCCTCCAAGGTCTGTTTCCTGTTCCAAGATCCACTGGATGGTCTCTCTCATGTGACAGTTCTGGGCTCCTGCCCATGTCCCTGGATCTCCACGTTGTCATTCACTCATTCAGCTATTGTCAACTGAGCGTAACACTTGGCCACTGCCTCAGAGGGGCTTCCGATCCGGTCTCCTGACTGCTGTGCCCCCTACAGACTTGGCCTTCCCTTGGGAGTCATTGCCAGGATTGGGACCGATGAACAGAAACCAGAAGTTCAGGCCTTGAGCCTGAGACCCTCTGGCTCCGGTGCTGTGCAGCGTCCTCCCTCCTCTACGATAAAGGATCCCCTGACTGAGCGTGCACTGTGCACAGCAGGCTTTCTGTTCAGTATGGCCCCTGGTGGGTGTCAGGTTGCTTTCAAGCCTGGAGATACCGGAGCGCATTGCTCATTGTACAGGTGTGTAGGGCTAATTCGTAGAAGACCAGTTGCAGAGTCAAAGGGTGTCCCAAGCCCTGTCATGCAACCTCAGGCTCAGTCTGGACAGTTGATGTAGTGGAACTCTGAAAAGCAGCAAATGTACGAAGGGGAGGAGTGCGGATCATGGGTTGCAGGCTGCACAATTCACTCGCTCAGTTCCTGAGCAGATAGATGTCTATTACGGTTTGACCCGAGCAGTGGCCCTGGGGAGGAAGGTGAGGGCCACGTCTGCAGTTTGTCACACTGGCTTGGGGGACCACTTGCAGCCCTGGTCCTGAACCTGGGCCTCAGGATCAGCTAGAGAATTTGGGAAGATCTCTGGCAGCAGCCCAAGTGATCCTGAGTCCAGAGGTCTGGGAGGGCCCCAGGAACGGATCTTGTCTGCAAAGGATAACAAGGCCCCTTATGAAGGGAGCAGCTGGGTTGGAAGGGAAGGTGGGGTGCACCCGTGGGGGAGGGGCAAAGGGACCCTGGGCACCATGCAGGCCTCTAACCAGGACTCTAACCGTGCCCTCTCTTCCCAGGCTACAGCCACCCTGCTCTCCTGAAGCTGATCCAACAGCCTCAAAATGCGGTGAGTCCCCAGTTATGCGGTGTTCATGGCATGGATCCAGAGGACCATTGGGCAGCCTTTAGAAATAGCTCATTCATTCATTCATTCACTCCACAAATATTTATGGAGCACATACTATACGCTAGGAACTTGGAATGCCTTGGTGAGCAAAACCACAGAGCCCCGCTCCCACCTAAGCATCAGATTGCATTGTATAACGTGCTACAGGATGAGGCAAACAGTACTGTGTTGGCACAAAACAATGATGGTGGCAATAGTGGTCGACATTTATCGAGAGTGAAATGTGTGCCAGACACTGCGTTCAGCACTTCACAGCTGCAGTGTTGACAAGTCTGCGAGGCAGGGCCCGTTGTCATCCCCATCCTACAGTGAGGACACTGAGGCACAGAGAGGCTAAGTACTTGTCCAAGGTCGCACAGCTGGAGGAAATGCTGGGAGTAAAACCCACAGGGCCTGGGCTTGTCGGGATGGAGTGGGCCGAGGGTCAGGGAAGTCTTCCAGGGAAGTGACTGAAGGAGAAACAGGTGCCTCCAGGACCCCTGCAGGGAGAAGGTGGGAGGGAGAGCAGCTGCGAGAATGTGGAGCGAAAGTGGCCAGGTGGCCAGGGCCAAGCCTCAGGGACCTGACAGCGCGCAGACTTAGGGACCATGCAGGCGGATGTCAGTCTCAGCACCAGTGACGGTTGGAGAGGTGGTTCTCTGCCGGGGGTACGTCCTGGGCACCATAGGACGTTCAGAGGCACTGCCGGCCCCCCAGACTCAATGCCAGGAGCATCTCCGTCTTCAGTTGTGAGAACCGAACCTGCCTGCGGACATTGCCGCGTGGGCCCTGGGGGGGTAGAGGCGCCCCCCAGATGAGCACCCAGCGGGAGAGGGGCAGGAAGCCGTTGATCGGTCACACTGAACATAACATACCCAGAGGCGCGCATCCCCCCCAAGCGCACTGCTCAGTGAACCGTCCCATATAACCCGGTGTTTCTCAGCTCTGCTTTCATTATTACTTCCTTAAGGAGCCTTTTTAGACATTATTTTCCTAATTGTTCCCGTCGTGGTGCATTGTTAATGCCACCACGTTTCCTATTGCTGCCAGGGCCAATTACCACCAGTTTCGAAGCTTACAACAACACCCATGTATTGTGGCACAGATTTCGTGGGCCAGGAGTCTGGTGGGCTCAGTGGAGCCCTCTGCGTAGGGTCTCACAGTTCTTACCTGGAGGCTGTGGGGCAGAATCTGCTTGTGCGCTCATTCAGGTCATCGTACCTTATTCTCCTGGTTTCCCTATGGTCCCTCTGTCCTCAAGCCAGCCGTGGCCGGGCCAGTCCTCTCTCTGCCTGCCTTCTGTTTCTGCTCTCTTTTTTTTTTTTTTTTAAGATTTTGTTTACTTATTTGACAGAGAGAGACACAGCACGAGAGGGAACACAAGCAGGGGTAATGGGAGAGGAAGAAGCAGGCTTCCCGCGGAGCAATGTGGGGCTCGATCCCAGGACCCTGGGATCATGACCTGACCCGAAGGCAGACTCAGCCACCCAGGTGCCACTGTTTCTGCTCTTCATAGTGGGCTCACGTGGTTGCACTCAGCCCACCTGGAAAATCCAGAATTATCTCCCTATCTGAGTGGATCCAGAACCTTAATCTCTTCTGCAGAGTCCCTTTTAGCATGTCATGCCTTCCCGGTATGGGATGGGAAGAGGGTGTGGCATCTGCTTGGAGGCTGAGGTAGCGCCTCTAATACCCCTCTGCCATATGCTATACGTGTACCATGTAGACCGTGCTTTCCACATCCCCAAGGGACGAGGTTTCTCACCCCCGATGAGAATGCATGAGTCGCACCAGGTCCCCACAGCATGCCCCCGCCCGGATGCTGTCCCCTTATGTCTAACGGCACAGGTGCATTTCTTCCATTCTGTCCGGCCATGTGCACGGAGTTGTGCAGTGTGTCTTTATTGTGCCTGGCTTGTTTCCCTCGATGTCAGTCTGAGGGGTTCATCCCTGTGTGTAGCCGTAGACCATCAGCACCCAGGGCTTTCTAGCCTTCCGCCATGTGCGTTTACTGCAATGAAGGGACCCATCCTACTGCCGCTGGACCGTTGGGTTATCCCCCCCGAAGACCGCTGGAGAATGTTGGAGCACGTGTGCTTTGGGGACCCCGTGCGTGCCTTGCCACTGGCCACCACTGGCGTGGCCATGCACACACACAGGCGGCCGCAGCTCCTGCCAGCCCACCCTTCCAATGGCAGTGTGTGAGTTCCAGTTGCTCCACATCCTCACCCACACCCAGTGTCGCTGCAGGGCTTTCATTCTACTCAGTGACACAGCGAGTGTGACTCCTAAAGAGAGATCTAAGCCAGGCCAAGGTGGGGGGCCGGGGGGGTGGTGCATTGGGAACCAACAACCCGGGCTTGAAGTCCCATCCCTTTTTACCCGCAGAGTTGAAGGTAATAGGAAGGAACCACATGTCCCCCCTTAGAGATGGCTGTGCCCCTCAGGGAGGGGCTTCGGGACATGTCCGCCCCTGCTTGTTTTCAAGTTTAGGGGCTGCTGGAGCGGAAGTGGGTGGCCCCCCTGAAGGTGGCTGGCAAGCCCGTTTGGGAGGCTCCACGGGGATGTTTACATTCGAAGCCTGGCTTTGTTTCGAAACGTTGTGCAGATCCCAGATGCCTCAGCAGTTGGTGCTGAAAAAAATGTGTCAACAAACATGTCACACACATTTGCTGTGTCAGCTGCCTCCGGAGGCAGAATCATCCCCGAAAACACGTGATTTCAGGGGATGCCCTGCCCCCACCTGTCCCTGCCAGGAACCTGGGCGAGTCGGCTTCATCCTCCCTTCCTCCTGCCCACTTCTTGCCTCTCACCCCTCACCCTGTCAGGACCAGCCCTGGCCTTCACGTCCCCAGCAGCTCCTTTCCACCAGCCCCCACCCCAGCAGGCCCGTGCTCACCTCCTCTGAGCTGCGCCTTTCGTGGAACTCTTTCCCGTACCCCCTGCCTCTGGGATGCACCCCAGTGCCCCCACTTCAGATGCAAAGCCCTTGGTGGTCTAGCTTCTGCTTCTTTAGCCTTATTTCTTGACTTTTGTTCAATCATCAATTATTGATTGAATCCCTGCTGAGTGCTGGGCACTGTTCTGGGTGCTGGTGAGGTCCTGGTCTGCATCAGCCTGGACCTGTCTGTGCTGACGCTGTTGTCCTGCAGAAGTTTGGGGTCGGCCAAGTGAAAGGAGCCCCCAGCAGTCTTAGAGAAGTGGTAGCTGCCATCAGCTCAGTAGGGCAGGGGGCACCTGGGCCACCAGCTGGGGGACCACTGCTGACATGCCGGGTCTTCCATCAAGGGCAGGTTCCTGCCAGGTTGTTGAAGGGGCCAGTCAACGCTTTTGTACCCCAACCACATCACCCTTAAACTCCAACGTCATTACTTCATGTGGCTGCAGAAAACGAAGCTGTGGCCCCTGGATCCACTTTCTGGGTTCCAGTTCCAGTTCTGCTTTCTTACGTCACCAAGGCCGCTCATGACACCGCCCGCCGTTTGTAGCTCGGTCAGTGTAGAGTCATCTCGTGTCCGCGACACCTGGGAGCACTGAGTTGCTCAGCTCAGACACGTGCCTCCACCGTGACCCCCAGGCCTGTCCCCCTGCGTGACTGCTCAGCTCGACTGAGCTGCTGCCCCATCGCATGCTCGGCCCTCTCACCAGCACCTTACAGGCACCAAGGGAGGAGTCCCCATTTGGGCGGATAAGGACTCTGAAGACCACAAAGGTTTAGCCTGTGCCCCAGGTTGCACAGCCACTTAAACCAAAGCCCATCCTTTTCACACTGCACTTTACGACTGCTGAGTCTGACAGCAAGGGTTCTAGAAACCTGTCCTCATTTGATTCTGCTACCCAATGTCCCAGATAATCTTTTGTTCTTAATGTCATGCTTTGTTGAACAAGAACACCACCCCCACATTCTCCCTGGTCCCAGATAGTCAGTCAAGCTGCCAGCCAGCGTGGCCATCCCCTCTGTGAGCCGCTCCCCCCACCAGCGATGGCGCTCCCCCAACCCTGATCTCACAGTGCTTGATTTCTTAGGAGCCCCACCAACAGCTCAAAGCTAAAAGGAAATGCCCCTGCAAGCCAGCCAACATCTCTGGGTTGCACCGTGCAAACTTGTATCCTGCATTCACATTTTTGGGTGGAGGCTGCCTGCAGTGTCTGGCAAAGGATGGAATCTGAAGTCGGCAAGCCTGATTGGAGTCGTGCTTCTGCCCCTCCCTGTCTGTGTGACTTGCAGCAGGTTGCTTGACCTCTCTGGTCCTCACTTTTCCCAGCACTATAGTAAGGAGGGTTAATGTCCCCAGCTACTTACCCTAGACTCACCCAGGTGGTCACAAAGCAGAAAAAATAACAGAGTATGAATCTAGCAGTCCCAGCCAAATTCCAAAGCCACCAGGAGGCCTCCCTCTGCAGCGATGGCGCTATTTGGATTTGTGCTGAGATTATGGCACTGATGAGAGAGGAACCCAAGCAGTCCCCAGGCCCAGTCATTCCCCCCACGTTTAACTAGGTGATGCAACTGCAGACTAGCTTCAGATGTACAGACGAGGTGGAGACGGTTCCCACCTGCCTTTCACCAAGTTCACCCAAGTGCCAACCCTCCCCGCAGCACCGCGTCAAAACTAAGGAATTAACACGGGCATGTTATGTAGCGGAGACCTCATTCAGATTCCCCCGCTTTCCCCAATGTCCATTTTTTGCTTCCAGGATCCGGTCCAGAATGCCACATTACACTTGGCCCAATTGCTTTTTAAAACCCAGATCCACCTCCTAGCAACCTCGTTGTTTACCCATTGTGTAGACCCTCCCTGGACCCTTCCTGACCCGGGCCTGGGGCACTCTGGACCTCCAGGGGGAGAGGGCTGTAGTCTTATTCCATCTGAGCACACAGCCTCACCCCGCGTGGACAAGATTTCTCCCGCGGTCGGTGTCTTTCCAGAATTCCGCGGTCGGCGTCTTTCCAGAATTAAATGTTCTCCTTTATCCTCACTCTAAAGCAAGTCTCTGCAGACCAGCCTTTGGGGAGATTTGGGACCCTTGGCCAGGCGTGTGCCTCCAACCCTGTCACTTCGGCAGCTAGTGAGCACGCCTGTGTTTTGAAGCCATCAGGCAGGGAGGGGCTAGTTTCCTTCCAGAAGGCAGCTCCCTTGAGTGTGGGACTGTTCCTTAGGCCAGAGGTTGTTTTAAGATAATTTAAAAATCCAGACACAGCACAGTTCAGCACCCAGACATTCCCCCAGCCCATGTGTGAGTCCATCCCACCCCAGCCCCTGGCAACCGTGCACTGCTGTGTGTCCCTCTAGTTTTGCCTTTTCCAGAATGTCCTATGAAGGGGACCAGGCAGTGCGTACCTCTCTGATTCTGGGTTCTTTCGCTCAGCATCGTGACTTTGAGATTCTTCCGTGTCCCTCCATGTTAGTGTGTGTGTCAGTAGATGGTTCTTTCTATTGCTGAGTGGTTTTCCATGGCGTGCAGGTATCACTTCACTTACCCTTCCCCCGGTGGAGGGACGTGTGGGTCGTTGCCAGGTTTTGGCAAATAAAAATAAAAGCCACCAAACACATTCACATACATTTACGTCCTTGTGTGGACGTGTGCTTTTATTTCCCTTAGGTAAATACCTAGGAGAGGAATTGCCCATTGACGGGGGTTTGTGTGTTCAACATTGTGAGATATGGCCACGCCGCTTCCCAAAGTGACTGTACCAGTGTATGTTCTCACCAGCTGTGAGCGAGGGTCCTAGTGGCTCTGCTCCCTCGCCCAGTACTTGCTAGTGTCCACTCTGTTTTTTAGCCATTATGATGGGTGGGTTTTAAAAAAATCATAATTATAATTTAATTATAAAAATAATTATAAAATTGCAATTTAATTATAATTCATAGGAAGTTAGCAAAAAATAGTACACAGTGTACCTTCTCCTGGCTTCCCCCAACGGTACCATCTTCTAGAGCTGCAGTGCAACATAACAACCAGGAAATACGATGGTACTTTTTTACACCAAGAGCAATCCTAGTGGATTTCTCTGAAAGCGCGGGGAAGTCAGCCTGTCTGAACACACTCTCTGTGAAAAGCTCTTGGTTGGTCTTTGGTCAGCAGGGAGCAGGGTCAGGGCTGAGAAGTCACTGTCGGTCTCCTGCCTTTTTGCAGAGCATGTTCATCAACAGACCTGCCCTCGGAATCCTTCCTCCGGAGAACTTCGTGGAGAAGCTCAGGGAGTCCTTGCTCTCGGTGAGTTCTCAGAAACAGCCCATCCCTGCTGGGACGCCCCCCTCTACCCTCCAGCCCCGCTGGGAGGCAGTTCCATCTCTTGGAGGGGGTGCCAGCATGGGGAGGAAATGACTGAGAGCCACACGTTTGAGGGTGGGGTATGTCTACTTCAGTCTTGCTCTTGTGCTGTTTCTTTCATGAAGAACATTTTTAATTTTCCTTTTGAAGAAAGAAGGGATTCCTTGTGTACATGAAAAGGAACCAGGGAAAACTAATATTTGTTACATGATCGGAACTTTGCATGTTATTCACCCCTCCCCAACATTTTGGTTTTAGTGGTTACAATCAAAGTCATTCTGAACCTCAGCTTCCCACCTATAAAATGTGGGCATCTCAGGGGATGGCGGGTGCCCCGGGCAGGACAATCTGGGCTTTTCTTTGTGATTTTTTCGTCCCTGCCGTCCAGCCTCGGGGCCTTCCTGGGCTTCTCCACCACACCCTGGAAGAGCCCAAGTCCGTTCTCCTAGTCCTTCTGCTTCCTGGACCTTCCTGGATCCCTCCCTCCGGACCTGCCTGGATACCTCCCAGTCCTTCTGCTCTCGGGACCTTCCTAGATCCCTCCCTGCCCTCCAGCCTGTCCCTTCTCCCAGTCCTTCTGCTCTCAGGACCTTCCTGGATCCCTTCCTCGGGACCTTCCTGGGCCCCACAGCCCCCGGTGCCCAGGGTGGGCCTCTGTGGAGGCTCAGCACCATCTAGGGCCACGTGGAAGTCAAGATGGAGCCGAGGCCACAGCTGTTTCTCTCCCTGCAGGTGGCTCCCAAAGGGATGTCCCAGCTCATCACCATGTCCTGTGGCTCCTGCTCGAATGAAAATGCCTTTAAGACAATCTTCATGTGGTACCGGGTGAGGTTTGGGGCATGAGCATGTGCTTGTGCACACATGAGCACACACACACACAGCCTCCCCAGCCCCCAGCCACACACTCGCCCCCTGTCCAGCTGTACATCCCCCCTGGCCGGAGTACTGAACATCAGTGACCACGGTTAAAATCCAGAGAGGGCCACTACCTGGACAGGGCTTCCCAAGCCTCCCACGGGGGTGGTGGGAAGACCCGAGTAACCCAATTTCATTACACTGGTTTTCCTTGGCATCATATACACTATCTCAGCAGTTCTTGTTGTTGCTAACAGAACAATAATGCACCTATGTATTCATTGCAAGCACAATGAACAATCTCATGCATTAGTACATACTCGGACCGGTTGGTGTATGTGAATAGCTGGGAGAAAGCACTCACTAGGGACCCGAACTGAACATGGGTCTGAGTGTAACGTGGAAGCCCCTCCTTCCCCAGAGAGTCTCTGAGATTTTGTCTGTTCTGTTTTGTCAGAACAAGGAAAGGGGTCAAATGGGTTTCTCCAAAGAGGAGCTGGAGACGTGCATGATCAACCAGGTAAGCACAGCGGGCCCTTCTGCCCCGGCCCCTCACAGACCCTGGCCCTATCAGGGAGGAGGTGTCTCATGCAGCTTGGCACCTGTAACAGAATTCCACACACAGACTGGGCGGCTTACATAACAAATGTATCTTCCCACAGTTGGGGAGGCTGGGGTCCAAGGTCAAGGTCAGTTCCGTTCCCTGGGCCAGGCTCTCTGCATGGCCTGTGGACAGTGCCTTCTCACCATGTCCTCATGTGTCCAGGAGAGAGCAGGCACTCTGGGGTCTCTTCCTTTAAGGGCACCAACCCCATCACCAGGGCCCTACCCTATGATCTCATCCAACCCTGATCACCTCCCAAAGGCCCTTCCTCCAAACACCATCACATTGGGAGTGAGGGCTTCCACATGGATATTTGGGAGGGACACATACATCATGTCCCTACCAAGGGGTTCCCAAGCATTCCTACTCCCTGGTCCATTCCCCTGGCATCAAGGCTGAGTGGAGCCCTTCCTGACCAGCACTCATCAGTTTCCCAGGACAGCTGCCTGAATGTGACTGTCTGAGGAGCTCTTTAATATACTCTCCAGAATCATCCAAAATGTCAGCACAAAGGCATGTACAAGGGCATTCAGCCCATTGGTGCTTATAGTCTCGATAACCAGGAGAAATTGGGAGCCAGCTATATATCCAGTAATGGGGACAGGGGAATGAAGTGTAGGGGTTCGTCCACAGAGACACCGAGGAGGCCAGTGTCGGAGATGAGGGGTGGGGGTGGGGACACAGGAAGAACCAGGTGGGTAGATCTCAAGCTCCCCAACCAGCTTCAACCAGAGCAGGCCTGTCCTCCCCCTTTCAGTGATTGAGACAGAAGTGTCTGCTATTTAAGAAAAAAAAAAAAATCGAGAGCCACTGAACTCAACGACCCCCTGCATACATCCACAAGATTCTGCAAAAACAGTCACAAAGGGTTTCTCTTGGCCTGGAGACATGCGTGCTGTGATTTAGTGAAAACAGTGGGATGTTAATTGCATGGACACTGTGCTGTCAACCATGTAAATAAATACACAGGAGATTACTGGAAGAAGTCCTGCTAATATGTTTACAGTGGGTTGCCTCTGGGTGGTAAGATTGCTTTTAATTTCTTTTCATGCTTCCTTAAATTTTTGTTTTCCTAATCCACTCCTTTCTGTGTGTTCATACAAACCTACATAACCTTAAGCATCCTCTTTTTCCTTCTGGCCATCTTTAAAAACAGTGGATCGTGCCCTCCCTCCTTCTCACCTGATCCCCATGGACATCCTGTTCCATCGACATTTATAGATCCCATTGCTCACGTGTCATGGCTGCATCAGGGGGCAAACAAGGAAAGTGATTGGAGGGTATTCCAGAGTTTGCTTGGAGGGGATGAGGGGGGTTGGTGCTTTTCCTTGGGGCTCTCAGGGACCTGGGGGAGATCAGCCAGCCTGAGGAAACACAATGTGAGCCTCCCAGCATCTCTGGGTCCCCAGTCGTCTGCGTGAAGCAGCTGGAAACAGGTCTGGCCTGGTGGGGGCTCAGGAAACAAGGCTGCTGTGCTATCCACATGGGGCTTCCTGTTCCCTCCTGAGCCCGGGGCAGCCTCTATAGGAAGAGGGTGCCACTCCTGCCCCAGCTCTGCAGACCCCTTCCAAAGGCCCGGGGCACTTCCAGTGAGATGCCCAGTCCAGCCTCGTGTCCCAGGAGATACCTGGCCCACCAGGGCAGTGAAAGCCAGGGCAGTCTGGCTGCAGGAGGAGTTCCAAACTCAAACGCCATAGCAGCCCAGCAGGTGACGTCAAGGCCTAAGGCAGGTGTTGGGCCCCGGTGCAGCGAGCTCTCGCCCAGCCTTTAGGCTCGGCCACCTGCTGTGGCCACAGGAGGAAAATGGGCCCAGATGATGCAGAACTTGTGAGAAGCCATAAGTTTAGATACTTACATTAAATCTCATTTTTACTTTAAGGGCAAAACAGAACATCTGTGGGCTGGATGCAGACCTTAGGACTCGGTCTGTCACTTGGTCCTGAGAAGGGACTCGGGTTCTTCTGATAGACGTGTGTGTTCCTCTAGGTGCGCAGGGTCAGCAGTACAGTCCCCCAGCCCTACGACTGTGACTGACTACCACTGTTTCTTGGTCCTAGGCCCCCGGCTGCCCCGAGTACAGCATCCTCTCCTTCATGGGCGCGTTCCACGGGAGGACCATGGGTAAGGAGGGACCGGTGTGATCCCCCAGTGGCAGTTAGAATACAAGTAACAGTGGCAACCGCAGTGATGGTCACCTTGGGTCCCACCTTGGCCGTTTTCACATGTAGTGTCTCAATGACTCCACACCGTCCTCTGCAGGTGGTGGGGGGGGTTGTTATTCCCACTTTGCAGACGTGGAAGTCGAGGCTCAGCAAGGAAGGAACATGCCAAGGGCAACCAGTGGCACAGCCAGCATTCAAACCCTGGCTCTGTGCCTTCGAAGTCTGCTCAGTCTGTGATGAACCAGAAAGCAGAGTGTGCGTACACACACACACAGGTTCTGCTTCAGCATCAGGGTGTCACAGGGACTCCAGGCAACAGGCCTCCCTGGGCGTTGGGAGACATGGCCTGAATTGCCTGTGATCTCCTTTTCAAAGACTGTTCCTCCTACTTCCCCAAGCCCAATCGCCTTCTGTTTTGCTGACCTAGGATGCTTAGCGACCACGCACTCCAAAGCTATCCACAAGATCGACATCCCTTCCTTCGACTGGCCCATTGCACCATTCCCACGGCTAAAATACCCGCTGGAAGAGTTTGTGAAAGAGAACCAGCAGGAAGAAGCCCGCTGTCTGGAAGAGGTAACGCTGCTCCATGTCCTCACCCCGGGGGGAGAGGAGCAGAGTCTGTCTGGGACCTGCGTGGTGGGCCCTGGGAGGGACGTAGGGACAGAGAGGCGTCGTGTCCCACATGTTCCGCACCAGGAAAAGTAACGGGACACCTTGATTCTGCCTCCTGGCATCCATCACCCCATTTCTGGTTCTGATTTCTGTATCGTTTAAGTTTCTTTGGGGGCAAGCTTCGCTGACTCCAGAACAAGAGGGACTTTATGAGAATATGGGGCAGCCCATAGAAAAAGTGGACACCTAGGACCCTGTCGTGCACCGCTTTTCAGCCTTCTCCCAAGTCCTAGGGCTGCTCTGGGGTTGCAGCGGGGGCAGGGGAGGGACTGAGGACGAGCAGGCCCTGTTGCGGTGCGTTCGCCGCACCCAGCAGCCCTCCTTCGATCTGTTCTGCATACTGGGCTTCCATGTTAGACTCTGGAAGGAGTCTTTGCTGGGAAAGAGACACCGGAAACTTCTTCAGGCTTGGAATCTGAGCTCAAATGAGGCTGGTTTGAGGCTGGTTTGCCTCTTAGACACGTCATCCTTTTTGATCAGTTAGTAATTAACACGGACTGCCTGTGAACAAGGTGCTAGGTGCTGGGTACTTAGTGGCAAAGAAGAGAGATGAGAATGGAGTCCAGTACCGTCCCGTCCAATAAAAATATTTAGCTACATACGTAATGGGAAATATTTAGCTACACATGTAATGGAAGTTTTTCTAGAAATCAGCGTTTTTTTAAACAAATATACATCTGAGATTCTGCACAGAAAGGACTCTTCTACCAGTAACAATATCACACTAACGATAACAGTAGTGATAGTATGTACTTGAGGTGGCGGCAGCAACTGCTTCCCATACGCCGGACCCTATGCTGGGTGGTCTCATTCAGTCCCTCTGTGGCCCAGGTCCTTAGTTTCTCCCCCGCAGGTGCTAGCACCAGGCCCAAGTAGGACACATTCCCACCCACACAAGCAGCTCCGAACAGATGCCACAGTCTTCACCAGAAGTGCACATGAACACATGTTCTGGCATCACTTCGGCGGTGGGGGGGGGACCACCTGCCCATCCGTGGACGCTGCCCTACTAGGGCTTCCTCCAACCACTGTTACTTGCCCCCGGGAATGCAGGTGGAGGATCTGATTGTGAAATATCGGAAAAAGAAGAAGACGGTGGCCGGGATCATCGTGGAGCCCATCCAGTCTGAGGGTGGAGACAACCATGCGTCCGACGACTTCTTCCGGAAGCTGAGAGACATCTCCAGGAAGGTCAGTGCATGGGGCCGGGGCTGGTCGGGGCCATGGACCCTCTTCAGCTGGTTTTCCGGAGGAAAGGGTTAGCTCTGGGTTCCTCGCGCACGTCCAGATGGTCAGAGGCTGCCCGGCGGCCTCACTGATAGAGGCTTTGAAGGCAGGGGCAAGGTCAGGAGTTTCTCCCTCAAATCTCACTGCAGAACCAGCCTCCACCCTGCCGTGTTAGGGACTTTCCCAATCCAGGGACGCCTGGGAAGGCCTCAGCCACCTCCTTTACTCTCTACAGACCCCACCTCATCTTTCAGCCCAGTGTGGTCCACAATCAACAGATGCAAAATGAGCAGACTCTAGGCTAATATCACATGTTTATTTTAATATCTCTTGCACGTGCAACTGGCACATCCAACCAGTGAGACAGGAGCTGCTCTAAACACAAATACCCAGTAACTAGCAGTCGGGGTGGTGAGTTGAACTGGCAGACAGGACAGCTGGAGCCTGGGAGGCAGGTCTGGGCCTCTCTGCTGGGACTGCCGGCCCTCAGAGGGAGTCCGCTTACTCGCTCGGGGCCTGAAGCCAAATGCAACGTCGCTGTGCATGGGTTCAGGGCATACTTGATGTTATGGTCCTGTTCCAGCTCAGCAGTCTGAGGACAGGTTCAGGTCCAGCTCCAACGGAGCTGCTGTGCAAGGCCCAGGAGCAGGGGCCTGATTCACAGACCAGAAGGCAGTGTGTCTCTGGCTGGATGCTGGTCGACAGTGGTGGGTGTTGATTTGCCCCTTCTCTCCCTTCTCGGCCAGCATGGCTGTGCCTTCTTGGTGGATGAGGTCCAGACAGGAGGGGGCTGCACCGGCAAGTTCTGGGCCCATGAGCACTGGGGCTTGGCTGACCCCGCGGACGTGATGACCTTCAGCAAGAAGATGATGACCGGGGGCTTCTTCCACAAGGAGGAGTTCAGGCCCAATGCTGTGAGTAGCCGCCTGCCCTCTCCTGGCTCACCACCACTCCTTTCTCCAAACCCAGAGCTGAGTGGACCCCCACCAGGTCACATAGGGCCCCTGGACACCCACTTCTTACCAATGTAATGAGCCAGTGGTTATGATCACCCAGCTCTGTGTAGGGCAACTTCCTCGCAGCCTACTGTCAGGCTCCTGATTTCCGTGTGCCCATACGATAATGTTGTTAAGAGCTGCTGCCGTGAACTGAGCATCTGCTTTGTGCCTGGCCCAGTTCTAAGTACTTCTCATGTCCTTTTAATCCTTACAACAATCTAACGAAGTAGGTGTTATTTTTCTCTCTCATTTTACCAATGAAGAATCAGGCATGGAGGGGTTTTAAGTAAGTTGTCCAAGGTCACACAGCCTGTTAAGTGACAAAGCCAGGATTCAAATGAGGAGCCCATGCTCTAAACCACTACACTGTACTGCCAGATATACAGAGCGGTTCTCATACACACATACACACACAGAGTTATCAGGGGCCCGGGATCTTTTCTTCCACCATTCCTGTATGTGCTTTCCACCCTCAAGATTGCCTCATGATCCAAAAATCACTGCTGGAGCTCCAGCCATCACATATCAATTCTAGGCAGTAGGAAGGAAAAAGGAGGGAAGGACAAAGTGGCCCCCTTCTTGTCTTTATAAATCAGCCTTCCCAGAAATCCCACATTTATGTTTCTAATATTTTGACTAAGATCTGGTCCACATGTCCATTCCTGTCTGCAAGGGACGCTGGGAAGTGTGTTTTAGTTGGCTGCACTGATACCTGAATAATTCATGGAGGAATAAATCTGTGGTCATTGTGAGTCAGAATACCATCAGTCCACTCAACTCTGCCACCTCTTATGTTCCAGGTCAAATCACTTAACCTCTCAGAACCTTGGCTCCTCTTGTATAAAATGAGGATTATAGTAGTTGAGGACCAACTGTCGTGGTTGCCCCAGGACTGACGGATTATCCAGGGCATGGGCCGACTTGGTCTCCCTAACAGTAGCACCTAGCTAGAGGGTTGTTGTTTCGGAAAGAATTCAGTGAGATGATGTGTGTTACCCTCCCTGGCCTTGGTAGATGCTCGCTGGGCTAGTTTCTCTCCTCCTAAGGAGGGACAAATGTGTCTGAGGGAAGCGGGCCCCTCCAGGGTGTGCCTGTGTGTGAACCCTTGGCGACACCCTGTGCCTCATTCCAGCCATACCGGATCTTTAACACCTGGCTGGGGGACCCGTCCAAGAACCTGCTGCTGGCTGAGGTCATCAACATCATCAAGCGGGAGGACCTGCTGAACAACGCAGCACACGCCGGGAAGGCCCTGCTGACGGGGCTGCTGGACCTCCAGGTACCCCTCCCAGACCCCCACCTGTGGCTCCCCACCATCCCCACCATCCACCCGCCAGCATGGTATTGTACCTGCTCTCCCATGCCGCTTCTGTAGGGCCTGTCCCTCCCCCACTCCCAGCCCCTGGCTCTCTTAAGTTCAGGCATCTGTCCTCTGAGAAGCCTCGCACGTGCCCCACTCACATTCCCCCAACGTGTCACCTCGGCCCTTTTTGCTACTGTCCTCTGACACATAACCACTCCCAGCAGCGCTGTCCAATGGGACAAGCCCCAGAAGCAACTTTAAACGTTCTAATAGCAGACCAACAGTAAAAAGGAAGGAGGCAAAGTTAGTGATAATGTATTTTACGTAACTCATTACATCCATACGATGATTTCAGCCTGCCGTCAATACAGAAAATAGTCACTGCGGGATTTCGTATCCTTCACTAAGACTTGGAAACCCAGCCCGGACCTTACACGGACAGCACGGCTCCACTGGCACTTGCCACATCTCAGGCCACGCGTGGCTGCCGCGTGGGACAGCACAGCTCTGTTATCACCACATGTCTTTGTCATGTGGTGCTCCCTGCCCGACACCCTCCCTTCACCCAACCCGGGACTTGCCCAGACGGGGCAGGCTGGCGGGAGAATACCCAGCAGGCAGAGGCTGGAGGTCAGCTGACCCCCCCAGCTGATGGTCACAAAGAGCCCTTCTGCCCGGAGCTGGAGGGTCGAGCCACCCGTGGCCTGAGCAGAACCACCAACGGCGATGGCAGGGGTGGTGGGGAAGGGGGGGTCGGTCAGTAGTGGTAACAGCCTCTGTTTATTGAGCGCCTGCTGCATGCCTGGCCTAGAACAGGGGCTCTCAGTCGCCTGTGGGGTGAAGTCCAGCAGGGATACATGAGTGTAGCCACCATTACTATCCCAGTTTTACAGATGAGGGAACTGAGGCATGGAGGGGTCATTAGCTTGTTCAAAGTGACACAGCTTCCATATGGCACCCAATCTACCAACTGGAACCTGATTCTGGTGGACTTCAAAGTCCATGTTCTGGGGGATGCCCGGGTGGCCCAGACGCTGAAGGGGTAAAATGAGACCCTCCAGCCAGTCAGCTGGTGCCCGAAAGAACAGAGGAAGTGCTGCAGTGACTTCCAAGCCTCAGTTTCCCCACCTGTGGAGACCGTATGGTCTCCTCTGCTGGCGGAGTGAGGATTCAAGACCATGCATGTAAGTGCCTGGCACACATATGGGCCCAGTTATTACCACCAGAATGTGGCTTTATCTCCACTTCCCACCAGTGAGATAACACTTGCCCCTTGGCTCTGCCCCCAATGCCCTGAGATTATGTTTTTTTAAGATTTATTTATTTGAGAGAGTGCAGGGAGAGGGGCAGAGGGAGAATTGATCCCACGACCCTGAGATCATGATCTGAGCTCAGATCAAGAGTCGGATGCTTAACTGACAGAGCCACCAGGCACCCCTGCCCTGAGATTATTTGGGGTCACGCAAGCCCTGTCGATGGTCCTTCCTTTGCATGAACAAACAGTGGGTAAGAACAAATCTTCTACGCCGACTGACTGCAGTAGCTTCCTCGGGCTGCTGAAACAAATGGCCACAAGCTGGGTGGTTTAAAACAAGAATTGGTTCTCCTACTATTCTGGAGACCAGAAGTCCGAAATCGAGACAGCAGCATATGTAGGGATTCTTTCTGGAGGCGTGGAGGGAGATTCCAACCCACACCTCTCCCGGCTTCTGGTGGCAGCCAGCAGTCCTGGGTGTCCTCTGGCTTGTGGGTACGCATTCTGGCCTCTGCCCCCATTGTTCCCATGTGCCCACGTCTCTGTCCAGATCTCCCTCCTGTAAGGACGCCAATCCTTGGAGTTAGGGCCACCCTAATCCAGTGTGACCTCCCCTTAACCTAACTAATTGCATCGGCAAAGACTCTACTCCAAAGTAAGATCACATTCACAGGTTCCAGGTGGACGTGAATTTGGGGAGGGGAGCACTGTTCAACCCAGTACCTAGTCACAGAGCCTAGAGTGAGGATGAGCGTCCTCTCCTCAGATTCACAGATTTTCTAGAAGAAGCGCTGACAGAGATGGCTAACAACCCCTGAGCACCTGCCAAGTGCCAAGCCCTGGGCCTGACATAGAAATCTTGTGTCTCTAAATTCCCACCACAGCCTGTGGGGGGCAAGAGCATTTACATCCTTGGGTTTACGGAAGAGGAAACTGAGGCACGGGCCACTTCTGTGACTGGCCCCAGGGTGCATCAGGAGAAAGACACAGAGCGGGTTCTGGACTCAGGACTGGATGTGTACAGAGCCAGAGCCCGTCACCCCACAGCCGTCGTGCAGGACGTGTAGAGGCCTGAAGGCCAGACCCTGGGGGGCACGTGAGGAGCTCCTCGCAGCCCAGCTGCTGCCTGGGTGATGGGCTTTGATGCAGCCTTTTCCCCCCACTGCAGGCCCGGTACCCCCAGTTCATCAGCAGAGTGAGAGGACGAGGCACCTTTTGCTCCTTCGACACTCCTGATGAAACCGTACGGAATAAACTCATTTTAATGGCCAGAAACAAAGGTAAGTGAACAGGACTGGAAGCTGAGCCGCATCAGGGACCCAGGTCACCTGGGGAGGGTGCACCGTGGGGTGCAGGGAGGCAGGGGGTTTGCGGGGCTGAAAACAGTCTGAGTGCTCTTTCTCAAAAGAAGGGGAAGTGGCCTGCAGACTTCCTTATTCATTCACTGTATAGATATTCACTGAGGTGGTAAGTTGCACCAACAGAGGAGGGAATTGAGATGATGAAGGAACGAGACCATTGGGGCCCTTTCTTCAAGGAGCTCAAGGTCTAGTAGGAAGGGAACATGTGAGACGGCGTTTCATAAACCATCGGTTGTAGTTCTGCAGCCTAGGAAGAAGGAGAGGAGGCTAAGGATGGAATAGCGGGGAGGGGGTAAGTGTGGAGACCAGGAAATCAGGGGAGGCTTCCTTGAGGAAGAGGCATTTTACCTTAGGTCTAGCCGGGTGAGCCAGGGCTGGCCAGGTGAAGATGAGGAAGGGCATTCGGGCAGAGGGAGGCATGTGTGTAATAACCTGAGGCGGGATGGAGCCCACAGAGGCAGAGAAGCGTCTGGAACGGAGTGTGAGGAGGGGCTGCCAGGCGCATGTCACATGGGCCTGTGGAGCCCGTTCAAGAGTCCTAGCTTCTTCCTGAGCTATGGGAAGCCACGGGAGAGGCTCAGGGGGGTCAAAGTGTGCAATCAGAGGGCCTGAGATGGGTCAAGAGAGACTCAGCCCCTTCACTGCTCCATCTCAGAATTCCCGAGGGGCAGGGGTAACTTGTCTCCTCTGTAATGAGAAAGCTGTTTCAGGGGCGCTACGAGACCTTGACCAGAACACCCGGCCAGTCAGTGCTCAAGACGCCCTTTAAAATCAGCAGGCCCGACCGCTCCTGGTGACAGCTGTGCCCCTCACACCTGCTGCCGGCCGCCCGCACTCTGTCACTTCCGTTTGCTTCTTTCTTTCCTGACCCCACAATGAGTTTCTGGAAGCCAGGTCTCAGCGGGCCTGGTTCAGGGGCAGCAGAGCAGGCATTCGAGGTGGGAGGGAGGGAGGGAGAGAACGGCCGGTGGGGTGGGTGGAAGGACAGACGGAAGCTGGACGGAAGGAAGATGTGCAGCCCCCCGCCGGCGCCCAGGCCGCTGACCGCACCCCCCGCCTCTGCTTTCAGGCGTGGTGTTGGGAGGCTGCGGGGACAGATCCATTCGGTTCCGCCCCACTCTGGTCTTCAGGGATCACCACGCGCACCTGTTCCTCAATATTTTCAGCGACATCTTAGCAGACTTCAAGTAAAGAAGCCATTTCCACTACGCTCTGAGAAAGCCCTGATCTCAACTGTTGTCAAATTGATTAGTTTGCCTAATTCATGTTTTCACTTAAAGTATCAGAGGCGAGTGCATAAACTGAAGGGTTCTTTGTGGGGAGGGGGTGTCTGTGGTGGCTTTGGGAGGGAGGGGACAGGCGGGAGGGGCTGGTTTTGATTTTCCTCCCTGCAGAGCCAATGATGCACGTGGGTCTAAGCCCAGAAAGTCTGCGTGAGCCCTGGACATCGTCTTCGGCAGGGCCATGAGGGTCCTGGCCATATATGTGCCCACCTTGACCCCAACAGTGTCTTTGGAAGCCAAGAAGGGAATAACAGCTGCTCCCAGGATGGTGGCTGGGACTTCTGGGTTCCAGTCCCTCTCAAGTGCCATACTGTGTGATTGACCATGCGGGCTCCCTACATGGTCACCCCCTCCCACCCGGCCCTGGAGCTCTGAGCAGGTCCCGTGCACAGTTCAGCAAAGGACAAGACAAATCACACAAAGGCAGGACAGTAGGAACATTAGGCTGGAGCTTGCAGCGTGGGAAGGGGTCCTGTGGCCTCCTGATGATTAGGGCTGCTCCACTCAGTGCATCTGGGGATCCTCTAAACTGTGAATTCCGTTCTTGATGGGCCTTGGCCTTGGCCTTGGCCTTGGAGAATCTCTGGGTGGTAGCGATGGCACTTCTTACTCGCCACCCTTTGTTCCACCAACTCTGTCCCCTCTGTTAAATGTCATCCCAGTCCTCTGGGGGGGGGGGGACTGTAGCCTGGGCATCTACGGGGACACACAGGAGCCAAAAGGACAGAGGCACAAGCCAGTCGCCCGGGAGCGGAAGCCCAGGGCCTGGGGCAGCAGAGCCACCTCCTCTTGCCTCCCTTGCCTCCCTGGGCATCAGGGGTCTGACCCGTGGACCCCTTGCCCCGGGGTCCTCCGTCCACTCCTGAGCAGGCCTCACTGGATGGCAGAGCTGTGCAAAGCTGCTCCAGCACGGGCAACCAGTTGCTGAACTAGATTTCTTGAGGGAAGCACCATGAACTCAAGGCACCAGAGCACCATGCAGAAAAGATTGCCTCTTGGTTCAAGGTGGTTGCCTTGTACTTGCCATTCCAGATTACAGATTTTCCTGATGGAGAGCAGGATGTAACTTACCAGGCAGATGAGTTAAATGCTTAGTTGGACGGTGGTGGAGGCCAAGGGGCCTCTTCTGGAGGCGAGACATTCTTGGAACCGATTGGACTTCCGATGCTCCTACAAAGAGCCTCTGGTTGTCCCCCAGCAGTGGAATGGTGTTTAGTGGGCAGACTCGGGAGGCCCCGCTGTAACCCCTGCCCCAAGGGAAGCGGTCTGCCTCCCCCTGCCTGCTCGGCTGTCTCGGGAGATGGACACACCAGGGTTTGCAGTTCAGCACTTTGCTCTTCTAATAACTTAATCATCCAAAGACCTCAAACTGGTGGTAGTGGTTTCTTTTTCTTTTCTGCTTCCACTCTTCCAAGTGGTCCTCGACCTACATTTGTAGAAAAGGAAAGGCAGTAGCATGTTTGACAGACACAGATCCATGGACTCGCACACACTGCATCTCGTGGTCCATGCTAACCGTTGCTTTTCAAAAGGACTTGTGTCGGTGTCAGTGTGAGGCTGTTGGCTCTGCCAGCTGAACGGCGGTGTCTGCCCCCCTCTCTGTACCGGGTACCACTCGTTTGTATGTTCATCTCTCTATTCTGTCATTCCTTCATGGAACTTTCGCTAAGTCCCTCCCCTGTCCCAGGCCTAGCGCTAAGCACTAAGAATACAACATGGTCCCTGCTGTCAAGGGACTCCCATCTCATCGGGGACAACAGACTCTTCAACCAGCAATCCAAGCCGAGTAGCAACTGCTGTGACAGATGTATGGGAACGTTGGGAAATCAGAGGGAGTGCCAGGCAGGCTCAGGAGGTTTCGGGGAGAAAGTAACATTTGAGCAGGGTTTGGTAGAATGAGCAAGAGTTCTCCAAGCAGACAAGGCGAGGAGGAGTGTCACACAAAAGGGGACAGCACGTTCAAGGCACATCAGTTCACAGTCTCACACCTTCCACTGGGGATCCAGGTTCCACGGGCAGTATCCCAAGATTAAGGCCTTATTGAACAAACAAACCAGATGCAAACTGAACCGTAATTCATTTATTGGCATAAGTATGCTTTCTCTGGAGAACTTTAGCATTGGGTGCAAACATGCGGTAAGGTCCCGGAGTCCAAAAGGTTTTCAAGCCAGGGCGCAAGTAGAAACTCAACTCTCTTTGGTGCAGAGAGTGGCTATAAATATTTTATTCCCTCCCACGGGGCAATCATAGAGAAATGAAATCATTTTACCTGGAAAGTTATTTCCAGACTTATTCACCCCTTACCAAGGGAAGTTACTTCTCGTGAAACTTTTTAAGCCATTTTCAACACGCTCTTGTTGGCTTAGGGCATCACATGAGTTCCTGAGGCATCCTCTTTTGTGGGTGGGGGTTTAGCTGGAAGAATCTGAAGGAAAAGACTCTCGGCAGGGCTCACGATTGTAGGGGGAGAGGTGGGTAAAAACGGGGAGCCCAGCTGACAGGTGGCTGACTAGGGCGGGGCCCGCGGAGTGCTTCTGTGGCCGACGGTCTGGGAATGAATCCATCGCCCATCAGTGCCATAGACTTTAGTAACTATCTCTAGCAAGTCTTGTCACTTGTACAGAAAACAAGGTCCTGTAATAGCAAGTCTTAGCACATCCTCACTTTTATTATAAATGGGTGTTTTTTTTATAATTTTTACTGACACTCAGTAACCATGCAAAAGTGTGCACATTAATATACCTGTATATCTATACCTATCTACACACACACACACACACACACACACACACACACACACACACACACACCAGCTCATGGTAGAGAACCATAGCTAGGGAGCACCACTGACTTACACATTCAAAGTGATCTTGTTTACAGTATTCTGTTGACAGTGCCAATAAATGATAAAGAAATTAACATGTCACAATGTAACTGATGACCATATGCACAATTCCGTGAATTAAATCTGTTTCCTGTGTTAATCAGTATTCTTAATTAAAAAAAAATTTATAATGGAAACATCAGCATGAACGTGGCCTTTTTGGGGTTGGAAAGTTTTGTTAAGTCATTGTCGGACAAGTACATATTAAGCACCAATTACATACCGCTTAGGGAGGCCTTGGGGGATTACTCTGCCTGCATAAGTCTGCCTTGGGCTCGGGAAGCACCGTGAGGCCATTAACCCACCAAAGCTCATCGAGGACTTACCATGTGACGGGCACAGGGGTGGACAAAGCGTGGTCCTTACACTCAGCTCATCTTCCGGCAGGGCAGAGGTCACAGCAAGCCAGTGCAGGGGCCGGAATACGGGCAGACCCCGGGTGCTGTAGAGGCACAAAGGGCAGGTCCCAAAGTTGGAGTAGAAGTTAGGTCCCTGAGTTCCATCTTCAAGGTTGAGTGGGAACTGCTGCAGTGACTCTGAGGAGGGACGGAAGGCAGTCCAGGCTGAGAGCAAAGCTAACCAGAGGCATGACGTCAGGGTGAGGGCAGGCATTCTGTGGTGTGATCAGAGAGAGGACCAAAGAAACAGGCAGGGCTCGGCCGCAGAGGGCCTCCCCCACCCTGCTTAGAGGCATGGCATTTCCACGCTGTGGCTCAGGTGCCGCAGGTTGGGAGCAGGGGGGTCACCCACCATGCTGAGTGCTCCTGGGAAGGATGGGGAGGCCGAGAGACCAGTCAGGAATCTAGTACAGTCAGGGTGACTTGGTGGCCCGACCTGGACCAGGGCTCATAGGCTCCCGCCTTACCAACTCTCCCAGCTGTGTCAGCGACCCTGTGAAATGCAAGGCGTGGATCCCATGGTTTTCCAGGCTTCTTCCACTTTGGACACACAGCATGTCTATAAGAGAATTCTCTTGGAAGGCAAGGTTTACCATTAAACGTGCTTTTAAAATAATCACATATAGTGGGGCGCCTGGGTGGCTCAGTCGTTAAGCATCTGCCTTTGGCTCAGGTCACGATCCCAGGTCCTGGGATCATGCCCCGCATCGGGCTCCCTGCTCAGCAGGGAGCCTGCTTCTCCCTCTCCCTCTGCCTGCCACTCCCCCTGCTTGTGCTCTCTCTGTCAAATAAATAAAATCTTTAAAAAAAATCATAATCATCACATCTAGTAATGATAGTTATCATTTTTTGAGCATCTACTATCTGCACGCATATTCTGTGGGGTCTTTATAATTTTCAGGACAAACCTACGAGCTATGTATTCGTATGCCTATTTTCAAGATGAGGAAACAAGCTCAGAGACGCTGGGGGAACTGCTGAAAATCACGCAGCTTGGAAGCCAGGATCTGAAACACACAGCTGTATGAGAGATGGTCTGTTAGTGTATAAACAAACGTGTGTGTAGACACATGCAGTTGGCTTCAGATCAGGTGAGGGTGGGGACTGTCTAACACTCCAGGACCCTTCTCACAGCCAGCCTAGCTACCAGCCTGCCCAGTAGCCTTGGAAAGTCAACCTGAACCGGTCGGCGTTCATGTGAGCTCTTAACGTAACTTACTAGAGTGGGTTGTGGAAGGCACCAAAACCTCAAGGACAAATACTCTCTGTTCAAAACAGACACTGTTTTCTACTTTCTGTTCTTCTTCGGTGCTGGGGAGGCAGGATGCTGCAGGGGAATGACCTAACTCTGCTGCTTTCTAGCTGGGTGGCCTTGAGCAAGTCTCTTCACCTCTCTGAACCTCCTCTACAAAAGGAGGCTGCAGGGCGCCTGGGTGGCTCAGTTGGTTAAGCGACTGCCTTCGGCTCAGATCATGATCCTGGAGTCCCGGGATTGAGTCCCGCATCAGGCTCCCTGCTCAGCGGGGAATCTGCTTCTCCCTCTGAACCCTTCCCCCCGGTCATGTGCTCTCTCTCTCTCTCATATAAATAAATAAAATCTTAAAAAAAAAAAAAAGGCTGCTAATAGTAACGCTCACTAGCACTTACCAAATACTCCCCTGGACCGAGCACTACTTTAAGTGTATTCCAGGTAGTAAGTCAGTCCTCCAGCCACCCTAGGTGGGTGCTACGGTCATTGCTGCTTCCCAGGTGAAGAACCCAAGGCACGGCGAGAACTCCTCTAACGGGTCACAGTTCACCCACAAAGAATGTGGCAGGACATACAGTGTCCAAAGAATGATTCCAAAGAATGATATATTTCTGTTAAAGTCAAGTTCCCACTCATAGATACTAAGTCTATTTCCCGAAACGGATACAAGTCCGACTGAGTGCCGGGGTCTATCTCAACTGTTAATCAGTGAAGCGGATGTTTTGTCACCAGCGTTAGTACAAACATGGCCAAGTGGTATGGGCCCTGATTAACTGGGCAGGATTTTATAGTTGAATGCCACAGGATCAAAACAAGGCCATAAAAGTTGGACTCTGCCTGGGGCTCAAAGGGACCCTGGTGCTTTCCACATGGGGACTCACAAGTCCTGAAGTCACAAAGCAGCAGCAAAAGGAAAGCCCTCACCCCCGGCCATCTGAGCAGTTCACCCCAGGCTGCCCTCCCACCCCCACAAGCAGCAAAGCCCATCGGATGGGCGCTGGGAAGTGCATTAAACATGGTCCTTGGATGATAGAAGGCTTATCATTGGTAACCAGGGCAGGGAGGACACCAGCTCCCAGCTGTGCACACCGTGAATGTCCCTGGCTAGTGCCAACCTCACCATGCTCTGGGGGACCACATCAGTCTGCCCAGGTGACTACAACAGAATGCCACTGTTGGCTTACAACCCCCTGGTGGGCTCCCCAGGTGCAAACTGGAACTGGCCCCCATGCACAGTAGGGCAGGGTGAGACTGGAGAGAGAGAGAGGCAGGCCACCCCAGACGGGCAGGAGGCCGGGGTAATAAACAAGGAAATTTAACTTACAAGGCTTGTCTTGAGCAGCTGCAAGATGAGGAGGTCTCCACACCCACCTGCCAGAATCTTAGGAGTTTATATGGAGGCCTTCACTGGGTTCAGGAGTGTCCACTGTGCAGATGGTCTCAACACCACATCACCATGTCAAGGAGGTGTCCTTGGGCAGCTTCCGGAAACAGAGAAGTCAGGTGGAACCCGCATTCCAAGGACAGGGCAGGGGGTGAGGAGCCTCCGATTGCTTGGGGCCAGTTCGAGGGTCAACTGGCAGTCATGCCCTCTTGATGACCTCCCCAACAACCATACACTGGATGGCTTAAATGGTAAACATGCATTTCTCACAGTTCTGGAGGCTGGAAGTCCGTGGTCAGGTTCTTGGTCAGGACCTCCTCCTCCGATGTCTTCACATGGCCTTCCTGGGGTCATACAGAAAGCCTCTTTATTTGTAAGGGCCCGAATCCCATCATGGGGACCCTAATCACTTCTCAAAGGCCCCACCTCTGAGCAGACCGATGTGGTCCCCCCCAGAATTTTGCGGGGGGTATACTAACCTTTAGTCCATAGCAAGTACCGTATGGAAACAGACATGGTGCAGACCACCCCATTCCCTGCAGCAAAATTATACCCAGCCCAGGGCACGGAGGCGCCCAGAGTCCAGACAGGTCTCAGCAGACAGCCAGGAAAACCACTCTAGAAGGGACAAACATGACCATGTCACCAACGATCTCCACGACTGAATGTTTCCCAACGTCAGCTCAGCTTCCAAGTCCAGAATGGGAATTCGTGGTGGAGAAACTTCTCTTCACCTAGAAAGCTGACTTGAAAGAGACCTTGTTTTTCACAGCATTTTTCATTTGTTAAGATAGACAACATACTCTATTATGAAAACTAAAAAACGGTATTAGGTTATAAAGTTGAATGTACACGTCTTCCCTCCCTCCTGTCCACCCCTCCCACCCTAACCGTAACCACTGTGAACAAATCAGAATCTACGTGGTTTGTACAAACACAGAAATAAGACCACACAAAACTATATTGTTCTGTGACTTGCTTTTTCTTCCACTTATCATTACCCTATGGTTACCTTTCCACATCAGCAGATATAGTCCAACCATGACATTCTTTTCTTTTCAAGATGTATTTATTTATTTTAAAGAGAGAAGCCTGCACATGGTGGGGAGGGGCAGAGGGAGAGAGAAACTCAAATAGATCCCTCGCTGAGCACGGAGTCCAACACGGGGCTCAATCCCATGACCTGAGCCGAAACCAAGAGTCGGATGCTCAACTGACTGAGCCACCCAGATACCCCTCAACATCATTTTTTGTAAGGGCCATGTAAGAGTCCATAGTATGGCTCTGCCAACATTTATTCACCCACATGACCTACTTACAAAAACTCCATTAACTTCCAGTTTTGTCACTGCTGTTCATTCACTTAGCTATTAGAAACATTCGGTGAACATCCTCATAAGTCGGCTTGGGTATTTCTATTAGATTATTATTTTGGGATTGTCGTCAAAGTGGGCGAATCGCCGATATATCCACTGCCTGAATCTAAAGGCTACCTGCATCTCCTGAGAAACTGCTTTATCATCTGTGTGGCTTCCAGGCAGGGTAAATCCCAGTGATTCTCAAAAGTCCGGGTGCCTCAGAATTACCTGGGAAGCATAAAAATGCAGATACCCCAGCACCTACCAGAATCCACAGGGGTTGAGCACAGGTGAGCTTGGACAGATCCCAGGTTCTGCCCTCCTGGCGTGCTGCAGGAGCCCTCGGGGGTCAAGTGAAGATCTGTGGTTCTGGCCCGGGGAATAAGGGGAGGGAACAATGCATTTGCTCCGTGTGCCCTCTGCTGGTGGTGGGAGCAGACAGCACATCGAAATGGTGGCTCTTTTCCTGCACTGGTGAGAATGGGGCTCTCACCTCCAGTGTGGGGATGCTTCAGGGCAGCAATCGTCAACCCAGGCTACACGTGAGAATCACCTGGGGGACCCGGACAATAGCAATGCCTGGTCACCGGCCTGGGCAACGACATTTCCTTTTTTAAGATTTTATTTATTTGACAGAGAGAGGGAGAGCGAGCAAGCATAAGCAGGGGGAGCAGGAGAGGGAGAGGGAGAAGCAGACTTCCCACTGAGCAGGGAGCCGGTAGTGGGGCTTGATCCCAGGACCCTGAGATCATGACCTGAGCCGAAGGCAGACGCTTAACCAACTGAGCCACACAGGTGCCCCGGACAACAGTATTTTTTAAAAAGCTCTCCAGGTGATTCTGCACATGGAGCTAGAGCTGAGAACCTACTCTTTAGGCAAAAAAATTTGCCCCGGGAATACGACGTCCAGAGGCATGAATTACTGTGGTGTTTTCTGTCCTGATAGTCTACAACTGAAATTTCCAGCCTGTCTGCATTTCAGAATCAGCTTCAAGCTTGTCAAAAAGATTCTGGGGACCCATCCCACACATAACCAGAATCTCCAGGAGTGAGGTTCACTCAGGTAATAGCTTACAACTAGACCAACACCAGGGGTTATTTGAGTTAACTCATCTTTAATGAGGTCAAAGTCAAATCATTAATACCTCTTAAGACATTTTATAGGGGCGCCTGGGTGGCTCAGTCAGTTAAGCATCTACCTTTGGCTCAGGTCATGATCTCAGCATCCTGGGATGGAGCCCTGCGTTGGGCTCCCTGCTCAGCAGGAAGTCTGCTTCTCCCTCTGCCTGCCACTCCCCCTGGCTTGTGCTCTCTCAAATGAATAAATAAAAAATCTTTTTTTTTTAAGATTTTATTTATTTATTTGACAGAGAGACACAGCGAGAGAGGGAACACAAGCAGGCTTCCCGCTGAGCAGGGAGCCCGACATGGGGCTCGATCCCAGGACCCTGGGATCATGACCCGAGCCGAAGGCAGACGCTTAACGATTGAGCCACCCAGGCGCCCCTAAATAAAAAATCTTTAAAAATAAAAATAAAAAATAATAAAAATAAAGGATCACTTTGGTGATCTCAGGATCCTGAGACGAAGCCCTGCATCGGGCACCATGCTCAGTGGGGAGTCTCCTAGAGGATCCTCTCTCCCTCTCCCACTGCCCCTCCCACTCATGCTCTAGCTCTAAATAAATCAATCTTAAAAAAACAAAAAGCAAAAATCAAAAACAAAGGATCACTTTGGCTGCTGTGAGGACAGACTCTAGAAAGGGAAGGATCATGGAAGCAGCAGGTTGCCACAACCCAGAGGAGACATGAGGGCGGCGTGGATCACCATGGCAGGGGTGCACAGGGGGAGAAACAGTCAGCTTCTGGTCGGATTTTTGAGAGTCGGCCTAAAACAAGAAGCCAATGGAACGACATGCCATTTCCCCTGAATTAAGAACTGGTGCTTCTCAATGGGTTGGTGGCTCCCCGGGACGCCCAGGCTCTGGGTCAGGGCTTGGGGGAGAGTGTTCTGCATGCACAGCTCTTGTGTCTGGGAAAACCACAGCTATGCCCAAACGGTGGGTGCCAAGCGTCCCCAAATGCCTGAGGGACATAACCACACACTCCCCCAGACTAGGGTCTCCAACCAGAGGAATCAAATCCACAAACCTACGACCTTACATGTGCATCTCTAATTACAACTGAATACAAATTACAAAGTGTGGTTTCTTCTTGTTTCTAAAAGATCCCACACTTTGGGGCACCTGGGTTGCTCAGTCAAGTGTCTGCCTTCAGCTCAGATCTTGATCTTGGGGTCCTGGGATTGAGCCCCTATCAGGCTCCTTACTCAGCGGGGCGTCTGCTTCTCCCTCTCCCTCTGCTCCTCCCCCCAGCTTGTGCCCTGTCTCAAATAAATGAAACCTTTAAAAATGTATAAAAATAAAAGCTCCCGCACTTCCTTCCACTGTTCCCGCCTTTCTCTGACCCTCCAGGCTTTCCCTAGTGTTGAGGATCAAATCAGGGTCGGCTCCAGCACACACACCCCGCTCTTGCTCTTGTTCCTGCCTCCTCCTCACGGCGACCCACTCCCCCCTCACTGCCCCCAGTCACCTAAGTACGCATGTGCACTGGTTTACCGGCCATCCTGCCTCCCCCAGAGGAACCCAAATCCGCCTCTTTGTGGCCAGTGCTGAGCAGGGCCTGGCACAAGAGATTTGGGCAGAATGAAGAGCTGATCTGGAAGCTTGCGGGAACAGTCTTGTGTTACAGGCTTTACTTGCGTCTTTGAGATGGAATAAATTAAGAAAACCAAACTTCTTTTGTGTTAGTGACAAAGGGTTGGGGGGAGGGAGGGAGAGGGAGGGAGAGGGAGAGAGGGAGGGAGGGGGAGAGGGAGAGAGAGAGAGAGAGAGAGAGAGAATGTTAGGCAGGATCCACGCCCCATGCAGAGCCTGAAGTGGGGCTCAATCTCGTGACCCTGAGACTTGGACCTGAGCCGAAATCAAGTCGGGTGCTTAACCGCTGGAGCCACCCATATGCCCCATGATATGCCACATTCCTTTGTAACAATGGGAAAATGGAAATGATTTAAGTAGTAAAGGTTTAAGGACCAGCTACATCCACTCAGTGGAGTATTTTGCAATTTCTGAATTTGTTTTTACACAGAGTATTTAAATGAAAAAATCAGATTATCTGCACCTTTTGTTTTAGGGATGGTGTACTGCCTATTGTTTTCCCCAACTTTACTGAGCTGTAACTGACCTATAACGCTGTATCAACTTAAAAGTGTACAACGTAATGATTTATCTATGTATATATATTGCAAAACGATTAATACAACACGGTTAATGTCAGACATCTCAAATCGTTACAACGTTTTTATTTTCTTGTGACAGAATATTTTTAATGGTTTACAACTAAGATAGTCTTGTGTTACAGGAAGCAAAAACCCAAACACTTCCAGGTACAGGATAACATCTATGTTTGTAGAAAAGCCTGGAAGCACAGTGAGACACCACTTCACACCCATTAGGATGGTGATTATCCAAAAGACGGACACAGAGAAACCGGAACCCTCAGGCAGTGCTGAAGAATATAAAATCCTGCAGCCACTGTGGGAAAGCCTGGCGGCTCCTCACAAAGTTAAATGTAGAGTTTACCCTACGATCCAGTAATTCCACTTCTCAGCACACATCCAAAAAGACCAAAAGCAGGACCTCAAGATTTCTGTAGACCCATGTTGACAGCAGCATTATTCACAAGAGCCAAATGCTGGAAACAATCCAAATGTCCATCAACGGATAAACAAAATATGGTCTACACATATACTATTCAACCATAAAAAGGAATGAAGCTCATACACGTTATAGCCTGGATGCACCTTGAAAACAGGATGGCAAGTGAAAGAAGCCAGACATCACAGACCATGGGGTGTCTGATTCCATCTCTACGAAATGTCCAGAATAAGCCAATCCACAAAGACGGAAAGCACATGAGTGGTCACAACGACCAGGGGTAGGGGGAAGTGGGGAGTTATGTTTAATGGGGACAGTTTCTCCTTGGGATGACGAAAAAGTTCTGGAAATGGACCCAGGTGATGGTTGCACAGCGCTGTAGATGTACTTAATACCACCGAATTGTACACCGGAAAATTGTAAAAGGATAAATTTACATTCTGAAAAAAAAAAAAAATTTACATTCTGTACATTATACCGCAATAAAAAAAGACTGGAAGTCCACACAACAAAACATGTAGTTGACTTCTGAGTGGCAGAATTATAAAGATCATGTCTCCCTTCCTCTTTACTCTATTACAGATTGCATAACAAACATGTATTACTAATTGAGGGGAAGGGCAGTGCATATAATTAGCTTTAGTTTATAAAATAATGCACCAGAACACAGTTCATATCACTTTAGCACACCGCAGAGCCTTCGGACACGTCTGGGTGGCGAACACAATCTTGGCAGGGGTGCTGTGCTCACCGGGCTGACACCTGTCCCAGTCACTGTGCGGTCACCATCCCGGCAGGGTCAAATGACCACCTCTATCTAGGCTTCCTCCTAGTCCTTTCTGGGGTTGAGTCCCTGAGGAGGCTCGGCACAGGGCTCGGGAAATCTCTCCTGACTGCTTGGAAGCCTTGCACCACACCATCACCTCTGCAATGACCTTGACATTTACTGTTTATTCTCACACCCATCCCATGAGACAGGCAGGATTTTCCCTTTCATGGATGTGACAACCAAGAGTCAGCAAGACTTGATAACCTGCCCCAGCCTGGGAGTTGAGGACTGAGGTTGCTATTATTGCCAGAGACACAGGGAAGGATGTTTTAAGCTCATGTGAGCTTCACACAAGCAGTGCAAGCGTTCTCACTTGCCATCCTGTGCTCCCCCTGCCACACCGCCCTGCCTTCTGATTTCTCAACACGGCACAGCTTGACTGAACCCAACATAGCTTCCTCCAGGAACTGGCAGTTAACAGAAACTTCTGGCCATTATCTGGCTGAATGTCATACACAAATGCAGTAAGAATTTGTATGATAGACCGCTCTCCTAAACCCAATTAGTAGCTCCTGCCTCATGAATTTCTTCATCCCAAAAGTCAAGGGCCTAGAGGCCCTGGCAAAGTCTCCGGCTGCCTGATCCCCTTCTTTGGCCTCACCCATACCCTCGGCCTTCCTGCTGGAGATCCAGGCAGCCCAGGGCCACCTGGAGGCCCCGTTCCCAGCTCACTTGAGGGTGTCCAGCATCCCAAACACCTGCGTGAAACGCTCTCTGTCCAGGACGCGTCCATACCGCAGCGTGAGGTAGAAGGTCTGCTTCCCGCTGTACTGCTGGAGGCGCACAAACAGCTCCTGGGGCCGGTCCTTGCTCTCCGTCATGGGGATCACATCTGCCACGGGCCAGTCCGTGTCCTGCCGCCGGCCCCAGAAGGTCAGGTGGGCTACCCGCAGCACGGTGCCTGCCTCATTCACATACAGGATACCCACCAGCCTCCGGAAGAAGTGGCTCATCCAGCAGAGCATGGCCAGGGCGAAGCCAGCTATCCCGCCCGCAAAGCACAAGGAGCCGAGAGTCACGAGGCCATGCGAGTACCAGTAGAAGCCAGGTGGCAGGGCCAGCAGCGTCAGGGCCGTCTGCGCCACCTTCAGCTGGGACAAGTACCCGAAGGCTCGGATTGCATCAAACCGGTAGACCATCTGGAATTTCTCTGTCTCCATGCCTGCAGGCTTCTCCTTCAGGGTGGGGGTCCTGCTCCCTACCCACCTCCCAGGATCCTGCCCAGGGTGGCACCACACCCTGCAGACAGGCCTTCTCCATGCAGCTGGGCCTGCCAACCGTGGCACAGCTCTGAGGAGGGCAGCCTGGAAGGGAGACAGGACACCGTTGCTCTCGAGAACAACCATGCTAATCACAAAATAAACATCTGCAGAGCATCTTACCCGGAGGCCCCTGCCGATCCTGTGAGGTTGCTATTATTGCCAGAGACACAGGGAAGGATGTTTTAAGCTCATGTGAGCTTCACACAAGCAGTGCAAGAGGGGTGCCATTACAGTTGACCCTTGAACAACGAAGGGGTTCGGAACCCCAACCCCCAAGCAGTCAAAACTCCACATACAACTTCTGACTCCTCAAAAACTCAACTACCAATAGCATAGTGTTGGCCAGAAGCCTTACCGATAAATCCATTAACACATATTTGTTGTTACATGTATTATATACGGCATTTTTACAATAAAGTCAGCTAGAGAAAAGAATATGATTAAGAAAACCGTAAGAGAAAATACATTTACAGTACTGTATTAGTGATACCATTAAGTTTATCTTGTTTCCAAGATGAATTGTCAGTACCCACATCAACACTGTCTTATAAGACACAAAACACTATAGATAGTACACATATTACTGACACTAGACACAAAAAAGGAAGGATAATAAGAAAGGGAGATTCGTTATTGATTTATAAGGACAATGATCCGTAGATTGGTAATAAAGCAGCAGTAATAGGGTTGCTTTATGACAGCCTAGTGTAATCGATACTATTGTTTCCGAGGAGCCTGGTCTATACGCCAATGAATGAATCCTTATAAACTTCTGATGGCATATAGTATATTACAGTCAGGTTCAGAATACAGTATCGGAAACAGTTACTTTAAAAAAAAAACCACTTAGCCATGATGATAGGCTAATACGCATTTTCTCCAATTACTGGGGGGCAGGGAGGGATGGAGGGAGGGGGAGGGAAGGGACATCCTGCAGGGTAATTAAATCTTTGAAAGCAAAAAGCAAAGTTACAAAACAGTAAGAAGACACACTGTTAATTTTATATTAAACATCACTCACAGCCTCTAAGGATAGGCTACCCACTTCCAAAGGAGGCTTTCCAAAGGAGATTTTCACATGAAGACATTCACTCACATGCGCAACAGGGAAGTTTAAGTGGACGGCACAATGACTATTCACTATTTATTATACGGAAGGGGATCAGCGGGTAAGTCTTCATCCTTGTTGTCATCCTGCTGAGTAGGCTCAGGGTGAGGAGGCAGAAGGGCTGGTCTTGCGGTCTCAGGGGTGGCAGAGGTGGGACAGGTGGAGGGGGTAGGAGGGCAGGCAGGAGAGGCAGTTACACTCGGCGTAACTTTATGGAAATACATCGTAATTTCTGTCTGACTTCTTTGCTTTTTCATTTCTCTAAAGATGTTTCTGTATGGTACCAATCCCTCTTCCACCACCTGCTTTAGTCTCAGTGCCCGGATCACAGAAGGGTCCATGTTGTAAAAGAAGTCAAACGCCGTCTTGAATAATCGAAACCCTTCTGCCAGGTTGTCTAATGTCAACTTGTTTTCTGGCCCTGCTGCTTCTATATCTTCCTCATCTGGCACTGGTCCGGAAGCTCTCATCTCCACCAAGGCGCCTTCAGTTAACTCCTCTGGTGTGGGGTCTATGAGCTCTTGATGTGGGAACTCACCGGCGGCCTCTCGGTCGGCAGAAGCTGCTTCTCCTGCTATCTTAACATTTCTTAAGCCAAACCTCTTCCTAAAATTATCAAACCATCCTTTGCTGGCATTAAATTCTCCAGCTTTAGTTCCTTCGCTTTCCTTTTGCTTCAAGTTGTCATATAACGACTTAGCTTTTTCACGAATCATACTAGAGTCTATAGGGATGCCTTTCTTGTAGCAATCCTGCACCCACATAAAAGCTGCATTTTCAATACGAGATAAAAGAGTATCTCGTAAAAAGTGCAAGGTCTTCGCGCCTGCTGGTGTAGCTGCCACAACAGCTTCACGGATTTCCTTTTCTTTTTTTACAATGGTCCTCACGCTGGACTCATTTATTTTGAAATGGCGGGCAACCGCAGCTGCAGACTTCAATCTACAGTACATATCGAGCAATTCAACTTTTTCTTGTAACGTCATGACTTTTCTCTGCTTCTTGGGAGCACTTCCAGAATCACTAGTGGCATTTCGTATGGGTCCCATGGTGTTATTCAAGGTTTACGACATTGCACTAAACACGATGAAAAATACGCAAGAACCACCGGATCACTTTTTACTGCCATTCTCAATTTACCAGCGATGAAGTGCTCACGGAGAGATGATTAGCAACACACACCGTGTTAAGCACATACCACACTTGAGCTCACCACAACAGCAACAGGGGGTGGCTATGGAATTATTACAGTAGTACAGTATGTACTGTAGTTAATTTTATGCAGTTAGGATTTAATACTGCATCTTCATGTTTGTTTCTGTTTCTCTCGACTATGAATGATGCCGTGTACAGTCTGTAAGACTCTGTGTGCATTTTGATAAACTTTTTATAACAAACTTGTGTATACTTTATGGTAGTAAATAAAATAAAGTAGTATCTACCTGTATTTTAGGCATTCATGACATACCTTTTTATTTTTTCAGTATTTCTAGGCTACGCAGTTCGTCTGCCAGGTTTTTCAAATTGCTGCAAATCTCCGAAAAATTTTCCAACGTATTTATTTTCAAAAAAATGTATAGAAGTGGACCCACACAGTTCAAACCCAAATTGTTTAAGGGTCAACTGTATTTCCACTTTACCACTGAGGAAACTAAACACAGAGAAGGTCAGAAATTTGTCCAAAGACACACAGCCAGTGAGTGGGGCAGAGTCTGACTCTCAAACTGTGGTCCTCTTTCCTTCAGGCAGTTCAAAGAGGTACAAGAAAGGTGGTAGAGCCTTCATCCATTCAACAAATATCTGGGGACGGCCAACTCTGGGCTGGGCACTGAATTCATTAGGCTGTGGGAACATTTTCCCCAGCAGGAACCAATGTCCTAAAAGGTAACAAATCCCTGCGATACTTAAAATAACCTCCCTATTTTCTGTCAGGTTAAAGCATCATCTTCCGTGCTGAAAGGGAAGCGCTATTTTCTGAGCCCAGGTTGGGGGCGGGGGGCGGGCCGGGAGGCGCCAACCCGCAGCACAAGGGTTTTATCAGGTGCACGGTTATACACCTCGCGGAATACAGTGAAAAATGCTCCGGGCTTGGGGGCCTGATCTGGGTTCCGATCCTGACTCCTACAGTCACTAGCTGTGGCTCCTTGGGCAAGTTCCTCCACTTCTCTGGGCCTCGGTTTCTTCTTCTTTCACAATGGGGATTCACAACATACCAAATGAGACAGTGGTTTCAAAGCCCTCAATTGCACTTGGTGGACCCGAGGATCTGATGCACCGGGACAGCACCCAGTGAATTTTAGTGCGCGCTACTGTCGCCCCACGTGACCCAAGCGCAGGAAGGCGCGGCACAGAAAGCCTTAACCTACGCCGGAGGTCCCCCACCCCCCGCGGATTCCCCGAATCAGAACCCCTGGAATCCGCTTGCCTGCCCAACCTGGACCACGACCCCCAAAGCGCACCACTTCCCGCAGTTCCCGCCAAACTCCTTCTTACCATGGCCCAGCTTCCTGCCGCCGGAAGTGAATCCCCTCTGCCCCCGGAACCTCTAACGGCGCCTGCTCGGCAGTAATAGGACGCCGTGTTGGCGCATTGCATTCTGGGATTTGTGGTTCCGAAAGAATATCTGACGCAAGTCCCAGGTACCGTGGGAGTGGATCCTCCTCCTCCTCCCAGCGTGCCCTGCGGCACGGGGGGCCGAACCCGGAAGTTCTGGGCCGAATTCCTGGTTGCCAACAAGTCCCATCCAGAGTGGATGGAAAACGGCGACATGGCGGCGTCCGGCCGAGCACTGTGCCTCTTCGACGTGGACGGGACCCTGACGGCCCCGCGACAGGTAAGGCGGCGCCCGGCGGGCTGGCGGCAGCGGGTGCGGACCCTCAGGGTGCTCGGAGACATGGGACGGAGCCGAAAAACCCTTGAAAGCGAAAAACTTGTATGGGGTTGGAAAACGCAGTTCTGGACTCTCACCGCATGCCCTGGATTTGAACCCCAGCTCAGCCCCCTTGCCAACTATGTGCCCTCCTCAGCCCTGTCACTTGTGAGCTGTACCTTGTAGCCTAATATGAAAAACATAGGTTTCCAGGTCAAACAGACCTAATAGAGTGTCAGCTGTATTCTCTTGACAGCTGTCTGACCTTGAGCAAGTCACTTAACCTCTGAGTCTCAGCATCCACGGCTTTAAATGGGGACCTTCCCAGTTCCATATGGTGTTTGTGAGGGTCGAATGAAATCGAATAAATTCATAAAAGTACGGTAGGCTGTGTTCAGTAATAGTCAATAAATATTAGCTGCTGCCACCACCCGCTATCTCAGGCCCCTTCTCCAGCAGGAGTGAGCAAGGAGACCTAGATTTTTTCACACTGCCTGCTGAGAGCCCCTTTGAACTCTAGGAAGCTTGCTTCCCACTTCTAGATTTTGCTGCTCCAGGCATGGACATAGGTTTCAGTTAAGATCAGCATTTGTGATGAAGCTCATGCTGACCTCCTTGCACGGACTGGTCACTGAACAACAGCCATTCAAACTTGAGACTGGGCCCAAGTGACCTCACTAACTTCACTTTCTATCCCCACCTTCTTAATTTTGGCCGGAGGGTGGCAGTGGTGTGCTCCAGATGTCCACATTAAATGTGTGTGACCAGATAACATCATTTTGCCTTTCTGAGCCACAGGTTCAGTGTATCTAGTGATGAAACTCAACTGCAAGTTCTTCAGAGGCCCTTTCTGACTCAGATTCAGTGACCCAACACACACTTCTGGACTGTTAGAGAATCTCTTGGCCATCTAGAGCCAAAGTCAGCAACTAATTGTTTGTAAAGAGCCAGGTAGCAAAAATTTTTGTCTTTGCCAACCACACGGTCTGTAGTAACTACTCAACTTTAATGCAAAAGCAGACATAGACCTTATGTAGACACAGTGTGGCTGTGTTCCCATAAAACGTTTTTTTAAAATATTTTATTTATTTATTTGACAGATACACAGCAAGAGAAGGAACACAAGCAGGGGGAGTGGGAGAGGGAGAAGCAGGCTTCCCGCTGAGCAGGGAGCCCGATGCGGGGCTCCATCCTAGGAACCTGGGATCATGACCCGAGCCAAAGGCAGACGCTTAATGACTGAGCCACCCAGGCGCCCCCCAATAACTTTTTTATTTATTACAAAAACAACCAGCTGCTCAATTTGGCCCATGGGCTGTGATGGTTCACATTCCAAACCTTTTTCCATGATATCATTGGACCTTCTCAACCTTTCTCCTTCTTTCATCCCGTGCAGGATAATTTCTGTTACCCATTAAACATAAGGAAACCGAGAGTCCGTGAAACCATGACCTTGATTTCTCACAGCAGATCTGGTACAAGTCTCGGGCTGCTGGTTATGCCAAATCCACTGTTATTTGCTAAGTTTGCCATTTTCTCCCACCGCTCTAAGAGGGGGGCTGTTCTGGCTGCTGGTTATGCCATTCCGGAAGGTGCTTCTGCCTTCCAGAAAGAATTGGCAGATGAGTGTGAAGTATGAAATAGCAAAGAAGGGGCGCCTGGGTGGCCCAGTTGGTTAAGCCACTGCCTTCAACTCAGGTCATGATCCTGGAGTCCCGGGATCGAGTCCCACGTCGGGCTCCCTGCTCGGCGGGGAGTCTGCTTCTCCCTCTGACCCTCTTCCCTCTCGTGCTCTCTATCTCTCATTCTCTGTCTCTCAAATAAATAAATAAAATCTTAAAAAAAAAAGAAATAGCAAAGAAACCCACAATGTATTCCCATAACACATTTGAAACATGATAGTCTTTGCAGCAAACTAATAATTTTAACACTGAAAAAAAAGAAGTCTAACAAAAGAAAGTTGTTTCTGTGTACCGGGTGTTCCAGGTAAAAACTAAAAATATTTTAGCAAGAGATTTATTCATTATAGCATAATACATTCCCTCCCTCAATACATGCATTCTCAAACACTGATAAGCATATTACAGTCCAGAAGCAGAAGAATGGGTTATCTTACAGCTGCTGAAACACAATATGACATAAACAGATAAAATCTAATTAGAATGGAGTCCAGAGCTTCGCAATATGACTATAAACCTGAGTGAATTGTTTTCCAGCTTTATGTCATAAAAAAATTCAAACATACAGGGGCACCTGCCTGGCTCAGTCAAAGGCGCATATGACTCTTGATCTCAGGGCTGTAAGTTTGAGCTGCACATTAGGTGTAGATATTACTTTTAAATCTTAAAAAAATAAAATTAAAGGAAATGCAAACATACAGAATCACTGAGAAACTAGTATACACAACAGTGGCATCCCTACCACTTAAATTCAAGTTAATGTCAGTCGTCGTTGAATTTAAGTGGTGGGGATGCCGCTGTTCTGTATACTAGTTTCTCAGTGATTCTGTATGTTTGAATTTCCTTTTAATTTTAGACATTAACGTTCTTGTTTGTTCTTCGCCATACCATGTCCTAAGCTGCAGTCATCATGGTACTTCACCCCAAAATATTTGAGCCTGGATCTCTTGAGGACATCTGTGGTGACCATAGTGCCATCATCACCATCACCAATGAAAATTGTCACCAGTTCCCTCCTATTATTTAATGCCCCAGTCTAGCAGTCGGCAAATGTTTTTCTGTAAAAGGCCAGATAGTAAAGGGTTGAGACTGTGCCGGCCATGTGGTCTCTGTCACAACTACTCGGCTGTGTCCTTGTGGCTGCAGACACTACGCAAATGAATGGATATGGCTGTGTTGCAATCATACTTCACAGAACCCGACGGTGGGTCGTTGCCAACCCACGCACCCTATTCTGCTGACTCTTCTTTACTCCCATCAGTTTTCCTCTTTTGTCCCCAAAAAAGTCTTTCATAGTTGGTTTTTACAGAAGGTGAATTTTTAACATGCTTTGACCTCGGTTTCAAGCTTTTGGGTCTTTCTCTGTGTTTTATTTTGTCTAGGATGATTTATAAAGAATTCCTTGTGATTAGTAACACAAAAGTTATTTGGGAACATCACAACAACTTTGTGATTATTTTGCTCCAAAGATCTCTTCCGCAGTGGGTAGTTTAGATGCTCTGTTGTGCTCACAAGCAGCTGGGTCTTATTTCCTGTCAAAATATATTTGCTGCCACTTGGAAGTGAGACGGTGCCTTCTAACGCACACACATTGCAGACACACCTGATGGCCACAGAGTGGCCACACCTGAGTACCACAGAGCTCATCAGTGTGCACAGGGGTTAAGATAAAATAAATTGCAGCTTTGGGTTCTGCTTGAAGAAGGAAGTATTGCATTTTTAATATTTTGCGATCCAGGGAATCTTGCCCACTTCTTTCCATTCTGACGTCAGGAGTCTTCCCCACTTCCTGCCATTCTGACATCATTCTGACACTTGGAGGGCTCCAGGACCCATTTTCACAAGGCTATGATTCATAGAGGCCACTGGTGCACTTCTAGATTTTGTCTGCTAGGTCAAGATTCCCCTGGAAGGTGTAGAAAAGATTGTGTTGTTATAAGCCCCTCTGTACAATTTTATTAATCCTATGTGTATATTACTCTAAAATGGTTTCCTTAAGAAAAAGAGAGGAGGGCGCCTGGGTGGCTCAGTTGGTTGAGCGACTGCCTCCGGCTCAGGTCATGATCCTGGAGTCCCTGGCTCGAGTCCCGCATTGGGTTCCCTGCTCGGCGGGGGGTCTGCTTCTCCCTCTGACCCTCCCCCCTCTCATGTGCTCGCTCTCTCTCTCTCATTCTCGCTCTCTCAAATAAATAAAATATTTTTTTAAATGTTTAAAAAAAAAGAAAAAGAGAAGAATTGAACTCTAGACGTTTTTGTATTGAAGTTTGTTTTTGTTTTTAATTTCTGCTAACTTCATTTCTAAAGATAGCCTGTGTGAGGCCCGCCTGGCTGGTTCAGTCAGTGGAGCAAGCAACTCTTGATCTCCAGGTCATGAGTTCAAGCCCCACATTCGGGGTAGAGTTTACTTAAGAAATAATAAATTAGGGGCGTCTGGGTGGCTCAGTCAGTTAAGCATCCTACTCTTGATTTCAGCTCAGGTCATGATCTCAGGGTTGTGAGATTAAGCCCTGCATTAGGCTCTCTGCTGGACATGGAGCCTGCGTAAGAGTCTCTCTCTTAAAAAAAAAAAAAAAAAAAAAAAAAATTAAAGATACCTCATGTGAATATACAATTCAGATTGGTAAAAGTAACAACTTAAAAAAATGAATTGTGATTTGTCTTAATATAGGAATATTTTTTCATGTTCATTATTTCTTTTGAAATAGTGCACAGTTTGGACTTTAGCATAAAATTATACCATTGAGACCACTGTTGATAGGTAGATATACCACTGAGCTTTTCTTTTAGGAGAGACTAAAAAAATCTAGTGATCTTCTGTACTTTATTTTTGGTTTTGTATAATTATAAAAAACAATTCTGAACATCCTCTTTAATCTTAGCGTGTTATTTTGTTTTAAAATCAGCAACTTGGGGCGCCTCGGTGGCTCAGTCGTTAAGCGTCTGCCTTCAGCTTGGGTCATGATCCCAGGGTCCTGG